GGCGACCTCGGGACCTTGGGCCTCATAGTGGATAACTGCCATGGAGCGGGAGATGGCATCTTGGAGATCCACCGGCACCAACGTCGACACAATTCTCCCACTTGGGGTGAACGTAGTCGATGGCGGATGGCTCTTCAAGGTGAAGCGCCCCCCTGGAGAGCCGCATGTGTTCAAGGCGCACTACGTGGCTAGAGGCTTCAGTCAGCGTGAGAGGGTGGACTTCTCTCATACCTTTGCCCCGACCCCATAGATGACTACTCTTCGGGCGCTGCTACATGTAGCAGCACAGTGCGACTACGAGTTTCACTCCCTCGACTTCTCCAGAACGTTTCTCCAGGGCAGTCTACATGAGCAGGTCTACCTACGCCGTCCGCAGGGCTTCAACGGTACCTTCCCTACTGGGACCCAGTGGCTCCTCCGGCGCCAGGTCTACGGTCTGCGACAGGCGCCCCGTACGTGGCACGATACGCTGCGTGCTACGATAGCTGACCTGCAATTCTTTCCGTCCTCTGCAGACCCCTCGCTCTTCGTTCGTGCTGGCCAGACTCCGTTCTACATCCTTGTCTATGTAGATGACCTGGTCTTCGCTACTGCAGACAGAGATGCACTGGCCTCCGTGAAGGCAGAGCTGCTGAGGAGACACACCTGCACTGACCTAGGAGAGCTGCGCTGCTACCTTGGTCTGCAGATCTCCAGGGACAGAGCAGCACGCACCGTCACACTTGGTGCGCCAGGTCCTTTAGAGGTTCTCCTCCGCACAACCCATACCTCTGCCTGTAGACAACCCATACCTCTGCCTGTAGACCACAGCCTCTCGGCTCTAGTTCCTGAGGAGTCAGTAGAGCCCAGTGGTCCTTACACAGAGATGGTGGGTTGCCTCATGTACTTGCGGCGGCGGCGGCAGCGGCGGCGGCGGCAGCGGCGGCGGCGGCTGCGGCGGCGGTTGCGATGGCGGTGGTGGCGGCGACGACGGCGGAGACTGTGACAGCGGGGGTGGAGACACCAGGGAAGGGGGACGCGACAAAGGCGGGGCAGGGGGACCACTAGAGTCAGCAGACTCCTCAACAGGGACAAATGACGGGAGGGGAGTGACATGGGAGACACCAGACGGGGCACGACGAGGCGGGAGGGGAGGAGGGGCTACCGGGGGAGAGGGGGCAAGGAACAAGGGGGGGGAAACCGGGAGACCTTGGTGAGGGAAGCGACGGTAGAAGGAGACGGACTCGTCAAAGGTGACGTTACGAGAGTGGAGGAAGCGGTGAGACTGCGGGTGGTAGAAAAGCCAGTCAGACGAGTCTAGGGGGAAACCAAGAAAGACACAGGGGACAGTGCGGGCAGTGAGCTTGTCCGTGCCAGAGGCACGAACGTGAGCAAGGCAGCCCCAGACATGGAACGCAGACGCGTCACCGGGGGACCCGGGCCAAACGAGGGTCGGTGAAACCTGCGGCCGCTGGGAGCATGGCCACAAGTTAAGCTGGTGAGCGGCGTAGCGAACGGCGAACGGCCACAGAAAATGTGGTGCACCGGCATGGATCATGGAGGTACGAGCCACCTCCATGACCAAGCCGATGCGGCGCTCAGCAACCCCATTCTGCTGTGGCGAGTCCGGCAAGGTGTACGACTGGGTGATGCCCTCCGCACGACAGAACTGTCCAAGCCGACCAGAAGCGAACGCGCCGCCACGGTCAGAGTGGAGACACAACACAGGAAGACCGCGGTAAAGATGCGCAGCCACAACCCACGGGAGAAGAACGTCGGGCACGTCGGCCTTCCGCTCCAGAGGAAACACCGTGGTGTAGCGCATGTAGTCGTCGACGAGCACAAGAAAGTAGCGCTCGCCACGCGGTCCGGGGACGGGGGCTGGGCCCCAAACGTCCAGGTGCAGGGTCTGAAGGGGAGCAGTAGCAGGGCGAAGCAAGGAGGAGTGAGGGGCACGGCGGAGCCAGCCCTCGACGCAGGGCGTGCACGGTGGATCATGCGAGAGGGGAAGGGCGGGGAGCGATGCGGGGAGGCCTAAGACAAGACCGTGCTGGGACATGTGACGCAGACGTGGGAGTGCAGGGTGACCTAGGCGGTGGTGCCACAGAAGGGACGGGTGAGTGAGGGACCGACACGAGCAAGCTGCAGCGACCTGGGAGGACGCACCAACCGGGGGGGAAGCGGTGTCTAGGGTGAACAGACCGGACACCGGGTCCCGGGGGAACGTCGCAAGGGGGGAACGTGAGACAGCCTCAGAACAGACAGCGAACCGCTCGTGCCCAGGGAACGTAGTGGTGACGCCGAGGTCCTGGAGACAGCCGGCACCAACTAGGTTCCTCGAGAATGAGGGAACGTGGAGGCCTGTAAGAGAGCCCGAGGGAACTGGTGGATAGGGAAGGGACGTGGAACTGCGAGCGACGACAGGACCCGCAGAGGGGTCAGCGAGAGAGACAACAGCAGGCGCAACAAGCGGCGTGAGCGTGGAACGGTCGCGGAAGAAACAGGCAGAAGCACCGGAGTAGAGAGTGAAGGACAGCGAAGTAGTGGCGCAGGCCGGGAACGGAGCCGGTGTAGGGACTAGGCTAGGCAAACTAGGCAGTCCTACGCCTGACGCAGAAGGGGAGGCTAAGCTACACAAGGGTGCAACACCTAAACTAGAGTACACATGGTAATAAGATCCAGCAACACTAGAAGCGTCAGAATTCAAGGCATGCAAAGCAGCACCTATCTGATCCATGTCTAACTCAAAGATCGGCATGCCCTAGCGGAGCAGGCTGTGCTAGTTGGGGAGGTCCGGGGCTGGGCCAAAGCGACGACGAAAGAGATCGTCGAGGCGGCGAAAGCAGCGGGCGGCGGCACAGAGTGCCGCGGAGAGGCCCGGTCTGAAGCTGGTACTGGCGGGTCACAGCACCGGAGCCGCCGGTAGACGCCGAGCTGCGCGGGCCGCCACCACGGCCACTACCTCCGGAGGTGCCGGGCCAACCAGGCGGGAGACGAGCCCACGGCTGCAGCGGCTGCTACTAGGATGGCGGCTGCTGCTGGGGCTGCTCCTGCTGCGGAGGGGACTGCAGCTACTCCTACCCACCGGTGGTAGTCCTCTCAGGCGGACTACCGTCACCACCACCACTCCCACCACCACCAGCGCCACCGCCCCGACCTCCCAGGCAGCTACGGCCACCGCGACGCGAGCACTGCTGCGAGTGAACCGCAGCAGCAGTCTTGGTAAGAGGGGACGCAGTGGCGACCGCAGCCGAAACGTCAGCAAACGTGCACTGGGAGGGGGCACAGCCGTGAAAGATAGAGACTGCCGGCGAACCGCTCGACTGAGCGATAGTGCGCTGGCGAGTCTCGATCTCGGTGAGGGTGTTGACAAAGGCGGTCAGGGTGAGGTCACCCGGGTGCTGGCTAAGGAAGTGGTCGCGGGCACTAGCTAGGCGGTCCGGCAGGCGCATGGCGATAAAATAGAGCGTCATGCAGAAAGGGGGGGGGAGCGCAGTGAGCTGGGCAGTGGTGCTGGCAGTGTGATAGCAAGTCTCTAGGGCACGCAAGTGAGTGGCAAAGTCTGCGACAGTAGGGAAGGCAGTAAGGTCTAGGAACAGCATTGGAAAGAGCAAGCGGCAGGCAGAAGCGGAGGCAGGTGTGGAATAGCGAGCAATAACGGCGTCTAAATAAGCGTTGGCCATATCAAGTGTAGCAAAACGCGAGCGCTCAAATACAGGGAGGGCGTGACTGATAGCGACCTGAGCAGCTGCATCGCGAGAGTCCCAGACGGCACTGGCAAGAGCAGCAGTAGAGAAGGCCTCACGGTCATCAGAGGAGGGGTCAGTAAGGAGGGGAGCAGGTGCAGGGGGACGGGGGAGTAAGCCATCAGCATGGACGACCAAGGAGTGGCCATCCTGGAGCTGACCTGTAAGGTGTCGGCGGAGGTCGGAGTCCCAGGCAACGAAGTCAACCGTGTGGCCCTCAGCGTCCAGACGGAGCACGAAGTCAGCCATCGATCAGGGTCAGCAACAGAGCAGCACAGCTCCACAGCTCCTCACGAGCACAGTGGCGTGGGAAAAGGGCGGCAACACTTCCAGCAGGGCGGCAGCGAGGCGCCCCCGGGCGGGCGAGCAGAGGAGACGAGGCCCGAGGTGGCACGGCAGGCCGAGCAGGAACGAGGAGGGGGCGGGCGGGCAGTAGGAGGGGCCGGGCTGGCGCTGGAAGTCAGGGAGGTGCGACGGGGCCGGGCGGGCGCTAGGAGCCTGACGGGCGCAAAAGGGGCGGGACGGCACTAGGAAGGGGGGCCGGGCCGGCGCTAGAAGAGGCCGGGAGGGCGCTAGGAGGGGCCGGGCGGTCGCTAGGAGGGGCCGGGCGGTCGCTAGGAGGGGTTGGGCGGTCGCTAGGAGGGGTCGGGCAGTCACTAGGAGGGGCCGGGCGGGCGCTAGGAGGGGCCGGGCGGTCGCTAGGAGGGGTCGGGCGGTCACTAGGAGGGGCCGGGGCACGCAACAGGCCGGGCGGGCGCGGTGGGGCTAGGTAGGCGCGAGAGGGCCAGGTGAGCGCGGTGGGGCCAGGCGGGCGCGGTGGGGCCAGGCGGGCTCGACGGGGCCAGGAGGGTGCGACGGGGCCAGGCGGGCGCGACTGGGCCAGGAGGGCGCGACTGGGGCCAGGAGGGCGCAACGGGGGCCAGGAGGGCGCTACGGGCCATGAGGGCGCGACGGGGGCCAGGAGGGCGCTACGGACCAGGAGGGCGCGACTGGGGCCAGGAGGGCGGTACAGGGCCAGGCGGGCGCTAAGGGGCCAGGCTAGCACGATGGAGCCAGGCGGGCGCGGCGAGGCCAGGCGGGCGCGACGGGGCCAGGCAGGCACAACGGGGGGCCTAGCAGGCGCGACGGGTGCTAAGGGCCGAGCGGGCTCTAAGGGGCGGGCGGGCGTTAACCTAGGGCGCGGGCGGAAGCAGGTGGGAGGACCTAACCTGCTCGATACCATGTTAGAATACGTGAATGTTTTACTAGGAAGAGAAACCTAGAACAAATACCTGTTGGGTTGTTCTCACTAGAAGCACAAACCTAGTCTAGCCTATAACTTCTACATAGATCATATATATAAGTTGACAAAGGTTGCCTAGGAAGTGGCTGGTAGGAACACGCTCTAACACTATGCACTCATAAGACCACTTGGCGGCAGGGTGGTGAGTGGCAGGAATTATCGTTTGCTACATTGGATTGGAAGCTATCGTCAAGTCGCCATTGATATGACAGCTACATTTAGAGAAATAATGCCATGTGGTGTGGCCATTGATCCTACACCCCCTGGTGACTACCCGGATATCTGGTGGGTCCCCTCGAAACCATCCCAGAGTAGGACGGTCAGTAGAAAAATCTCCCTGATATTGTCAGGGCTGGCCTACAAAGAGCCCTGGAAAACACAGGATACTTCTGAGAATACCTTGGATTATCAGTAAAGTCAAGGTAATTGCCCTGATAACGTGCGCCTTGCAGAGGGAGTGGGAGCGAGCAGAGCTGAGTTGACGGAGGTGGTTGGATCAGCAGAGCAGAGGGGGTCAGAGCAGAAGAGCAGGTGCCAGAGCAGCAGAGCAGGTGCAAGAGCAGCAGAGCAGGTGCCAGAGCAGCAGAGCAGGTGCCAGCAGCAGGTCGATAGCTGCATAGTGTGGGTAGGAGAGAAGAGATAGGGGTTAAGTAGATGCCGGAGGGGAGGCAGGCTTGCTTTCAGGAGGATGGCAGAGAGCAGACCAGAGAGGGTGAGGGCTGGCTATAGCAGCAGCCCAGGTGCGAGCAGCAGGGCCATAGCAGCATAGAGTGGGTAGGAGAGAAGAGATATGGGGTAAGCAGATGCAGGGGGGAAGGCAGGCTTGCTTTCAGGCGGCGGGGGGGGAACCTGGGTACCTACAGTAGGAGCGGAGGGAGTGGGAGGAACGGGAGGAGCAGGAGGAGAGGGAGGAGAGGGAGGAGAGGGAGGAGAGGGAGGGGAGTTTAGGAGGGAGGGTAAGGGAGCGGCAGCGGCATAAGGAGTGCCAGGGGGGATAGTGAAAGGAGGGGGATTAGGGGGAGCGGGGGGAGCAGGGGGGACAGGGGGAGCAAGAAGGACAGGAGGCAAGGGGGAGAGGTCAACAGCGGGAGCAGGAGCAGGGGCAGGGGCGGGTTCAGGTGAAAAGTCAGGCGGGGGAGCGGGAGCAGGCGCAAGGGACAGTGCTGGGACAGGGGCGGGGGGTGGGGCCGGCGGGCCAAAAGGTCCGGTCTGGCAAGCCACAGGGTCAACTGTTCGGTTGATGATGGTGCGGAATTTAACAGTGTCGATTGCACCGGCAGGGCAGATGGGGGGCACGATGAGCGGGTCGCAGCAGGCGATGTAGGGTGCGGTCACGGGGGTGCCTTTGAAACAGTCGGCCTGAAGGGATGGGAGGGACAGAGGGAGGGGAGACAAGGTGACTGGACAGATGATGCAGGGGAGGGAAAAGGAGAGAAATGAAGGGTGACGGTTGGTGATGGTGCAGTATTTAGTGGTGTCGATGGCACCGGTGGCAGGGCAGAGGGGTTGGATGATGAGAGGTTCGCAGCAGGCAAAGTAGGCCGCGGTCACAGTGGTGCCTTGAAGCAATCGGACTTCACTCCCAGCACCTTCCCAAGGTTGCCTGCCACCAAAAGGGCCTTTACGTGCTGATGTTTTTGAGAATTCTCAGCAACACCCTTCTTTACGTGCTGATGTGTGGTGCGTCTTTAAACACATGAAGCCCACTCACCTTGCCGATTTTAGCCTTGAAATTCTTCACCCCCGGCACCGTCACAATGCTGCGCGCCACCTTCGAGATAGAATCGACTGCACCAGAGGTTGCACAGCTTTCAGAGACACACCAGAGAACACCACAACAGGCCCACCTTGCCGATTTTAGCCTTGAAATTCTTCACTCCCAGCACCTTCACAATGCTGCCCACCACCTTGGAGATGAAAGCGGCAGCATCTGGAATGATGGCTGTCAGGTCCAAGCCTTCGCCCACTGGCGAGGTGAGAGGGGGGAGAGAGGAAAGATGGATGCACAGACACAACATAGAAGATACACCAAGAGACGGACGCACAGACGCAACACAAGTGATACATCAAGGAAGGACCTTTCACAACAGAAGCAGCGTCTGGACGCTGGAATGACGGCCGTCAGGTCCAAGCCTTCGCCCACTGGAGAGGCAGGCGGGGGAGAGCAGAAAGACGGACGCACAGAAGAATAAAAGATACATCAAGGTGTATTTTGAGTCGACTCAAAATACATCAAGGAAAGTCCGTTAATAAAACTGGCCGCTTCTGGAGTGATGGCTGTCAGGCCCAAGCCTTCGCCCACTGGAGAGGCGAGAGGCGGGGGAGAGAGAGGAAGGACAGACGCACAGACGCAACATAAAAGATACATCAAGGGCAGTCCTTTCACCAACAACATCAGCAGCATCTGGAATGATGGTTGTCAGGTCCAAGCCTTCGCCCACTGGAGAGGCAGGCGCAACAAACAAGATAGATCAAGGGACGTCCTTTCACCAACAACACCAGCAGCGCCTGGACTCTGGAATGATGGCCGTCAGGCTCAAGCCGTCGCCCACTGGAAGGGTGAGAGGGGGGAGAGAGGAAAGATGGATGCACAGACGCGGAGAGAAGAGAGGACCTTTCAACATAACCATACATCTGACGTGCCTAACAATCGCTGGCAGCTGTTGAACACTTTATGGGCGAAGGCAGGGCACACAGTCATGGTGGGTTGCACTGGGCACAATGCAGAGCAGGCATTGTGATCTCACCCATGTGTGAGTTGCCTACATGACAATCTCCGGCAGCTCTTGAACACTGTAGTGGCGAAGGCAGGGCACACAGTCATGGTGGGGGCGGCAGCAGCGCCGGCACCGACGGTCTTGATGTATCTCCACGCGCCGGGGTTGCACTGCGAAGCGCAGATGAGGTCCTCCAATGCTTGGGCGCATGTGACCTGCCCCGCAAGCATATCGCACGTCTGGAGGGGGGGAGGGGGGAAGCGGAGGGGGGGGAAACGGGGGAAAGGGGGGGTGTTGGGGTTGCACTGGGCAGCGCAGATGAGATCCTCCAGTGGATACTCCATGGCCGGTTCCATTCAATGAGTCAAGCAGAGTGGGGTGGGTACTCGTTGTGGTTAAGTAGTTTAGTTTTGAGACGTCTCAAAACTGTTCCATTCAAGCGTCAAGCAGAGCCCACTTTTGAGTCGGCTGGAAAGAGGCACTCCGTGGCCTGTTCCGTTCAACAGTCAACCAGAGCGGGGTGGGTACTCGCTACGAGACCGCCCAGCGTGGACCCTACAAGCATGAGAGCACGAGTTACAAGATACTCGCTACAAGACTACCCGTTAAGTTCCACACGAGCTATAAGCCCACCTTCATACTCGCATTAACCAACTCCACCAGACCGGGGTCGATAGCCGTCACAAGATCGCCCAGAGTCGACGCGACAAGCATAAGTCCCAACTTAAGATCCACGCACGAATCACAGCACGACAGCTCAGCAGCGGCGGGGCACCGGTACGTCACCACCGCGGGCTTTTGCGGAAGCTTGCCCGTCAAGGGGCATGCGCCGGCGGCGGCGGGCGGACCGGAGGCGGGGGAAGAGGGGGCAGGGGAAGAGGAGGCGGGGGGAGCGGAAGCGGGGGGGATGAGCGGAGCGGAAGGGGCGGCGGCGGCGGGGGTAGTGGTTACAGACGGGATTGGCGACGGCGGGGATTGCGCGAGAGTCGGGGGGGCATGGAGGGCGGTAGTCGCGGCGAGGAGGGCGAGGAGGAGGAGTGGGGACGACGCGCTACGAGAGGACGAGTGCCGATTCGCCATAGTCGCCGCCATTGTGACGTAATTGAGCGGAAAGGATGGGCAGCAATGTGACAGTAGCGGGTGTGGCGGGAGCGAAGTTGCGGTAATCGAGAGTGGCACACCCTGACGCGAGTCGGAGGGATCAAACGCTGAGAAACGAGACGAGGCGAACGGACGGGCGCGCGGGGGGGGTCATGTCTTTGCTTTTCTTGAGCCTAACTTCGAAACTGATGATGCTATGCCGAGTATGTCTGACGACAGGGTGTTTCTGACGACCGCTTCAAGCTCAGAGGTGAGACGCGGTGAGCGGTCGGGCGCGGGGGAAAGGCACGGCGGATCTTCTGAAGACACGGCGGGCGGGGGGAGGAAGGACAGGCGGAGATCTTCGAAAGTCACGGCGGGCGAATGCGAAGGCGAAGGCGAAGGCGAGGCGGAAGTGCTGGCTGTCTGAGAGTCTCGCGTGGGGTCTAACTACCCATACGCGACGCGGCGCGACGCGACGTGACGCGAATAAAGCGCCAGAGAGGAGAGATCGCCGCGAGGGCTGGGGAGCGGCGGGAAGGAACGGGACCACCGACTATAACACACAGACAGACAACGCAGCCACAACCGTCTCCTGCAGACTGCAACACAATGCAGAGATACCCACGAAGCCTACATAGGATTGCGGATCTGAAAGGAGGTGTTTTGCTCTTTGAGGCGGTACTTGACCTTCCAGTACGGTTGAGTGGAGCAACACCCGAACGGTTTGGACACCCCGCAAAAAGGACAGAAATGGAGGGATGGAAGGTGGAGAGCCAGAAGGAACATTTCGTCCGAGAAGCACCTTGCTCCAATTCTTTGTGGTTCTCTAGAGCCGTATTTCAAGGGAATTCGTACCCTGGATTATTAGCTAAATTCCCTTGGGACAGGCGAACTCGATCGAACATAGAAAGTCGGTTGGGGACAGCAGTTTGGATCTGCTTCCATGCGGAAACTTTCAAAACAACCCTGCTGTTTCATCTCTAGATGGATCTTTACCCATCTTGTGAATGATGAGGGAGATGGAACGACACCAAGGGGAGGGTTGTACGTACGAGTCGCCGCCGAATAGCACGGGATCTTCTGGTCGATGCCATTGGTTGGGAAACACTGGCGAAAATCCAAATTCGAGACGCAATTCGTCGTTAAAAACACAAACCCATGATAAGAACCGGAACCTTTCGAATACAGTCGTTGCTGCTGCTATCTTACCTATCCAAGCACACTACGACGTGTATGTTGAACAAGAAATAGATGCTAGACAGCTGTCATTAAAAACATGTATTCAATCGACAGTGTACGCAGATACGATGTTACATAGGACCAAGTATTCAATAATCACAGTGCCGTCGCGTTATAGGGCAAGCAAAGCCACAGCCCCATAAATAAGGCATCTAACCACCGATCCATCAGCAAGAGCCGAAGGGGAGCCAGAATTAGGAGGGGGGGTGGATGGAGTGGGAGGGGAGGGAGACGGAGAAGCGGGGGAGGGCGGCGGAGTGGAAGGGGAGGGAGACGTAGCAGGGAGGGAGGGAGACGGAGCATTGGTGGAGGGGGGTGGGGCGACAACCACGGGAGGTGATGACGAAGGTGCCGCAGACGTGGGTGGAGAGGGAGTAGTAGAACCAGGGGCAGATCCAGGGGCAGATCCAGGGGCAGAACCAGGGGCAGAACCAGGGGCAGAACCAGGGGCAGAACCAGGGGCAGATCCAGGGGCAGAACCAGGGGCAGAACCAGGGGCAGAACCAGGGGCAGAACCAGGGGCAGGGGCAGAGGGAGGGGCGGAGGGAGTGGCGGCTGGGCAGGTGTCAGGGCTGATGGTGCGGCCTATGAGGTCGGCGTATTCGGTGGTGTTGACAGACCCAGCAGGGCAGGCGGCGGGGACGTTGAGAGGGTCGCAGCAGGCGATGTTTGCGGGGTAGACGCCGCTGCTGGTGAAGCAGGCGGTCTGGGGGAGGGGTTCAAGAAAGGCGAGCGGCATGGAGAAGGGGAAATGAAAAGAAGAAGGAGCCAAGAGGACCAAGGAGAGAACGGCAAGGGCGTTGACGTTGAGGGTCGCAGCAGGCGATGTTTGCGGGGTAGACTCCGCTGCTGGTGAAGCAGGCCGTCTGGGGGCCGATGGGGTGTGTGTGGGAGCATGTTGAGAACATCACAACCGGCAATACTTGTGGATGACAGGATGAGAGAAGGAGGTGGTGGAGGAAGCAGAGAAGGGGTACGGAAGTACAGGTAGGGTAAACAGACAAAAGGAGCACAGCCAGAATGACTGCAGACCCGCTCCGAGATCCCACATTTCAGATGCAAACAGGAAGAAAAACTGGAGTGGTAGCAGGAAAAGCGAGGGAGGTACTTACTGTGGAGAAAGCAAATTTGAAGTTGGGTACGCCGAGGGACTTGATGACGTTTGCAACGATGAGGTTCATGAAGTCAGGGTAGGCGGTGATGAGCCCAGTCAGTTGCATGTCAGGGCCGACTGTTGCTCAGATAAGGGGGATAGGGAATTGGAACATTCGAAAACAATGGTGATATTTGCGAAGTCAGGCTAGGTGTTAATGAAACCATAAGATCAGATCAGATCATATCCATAAATCGCCAACCGTGTTTTGAACCAGAGGAATCAGCAGGCTGTGAAAAGAAAAGAATACATTTATGATGCTGCCTACAAAGTGTATTACGTGCCAAACAGCATAAGAACTTACGGGAGAGTCCGCTGCACGCCTTGAAAAGGCTATCCGCGAAACCGGAGCAGACTGTCATGGTGGTGCTGTTACCGGGTACAACCGCCACATAGGACCCCGCATTAGGGTTGCACGATAGTCCGCACAGCAAATCCTCCATCAGCTGCGCACACTGCGCCTGCCCCGCGAAAAGGTCGCACACCTAGAAATTCAAAGATCAAGGAAAATGGGGGATACATTTTTTTTTTAAAAGACCCACACGAGAGGGAAAGAAAGGGAATTTAATGTCAGGTGCAGGGATGTTCCATCACTGGCCATGCGGCGTATGAGCATTAGTTTTTTTTTTCCTTCTTCGTTAATTCGACATAGCCTTGGTACTCGTGTTCTCGCGTTTATTAGCCCTGCTCGGCTCACTTGATACACTTTGTTCGTCTCACCTTCAGGCTCGGATCGATGAGGTCCACGAATTGCGGGCTGATTTTCGCGACGACGTCCGTCAGATTCGTCCCGACGAGCCCGAGCGCCGTGTTCAGATCGGAGCAGTCTGCGCAGCACGTGTAGTCCGCCGCCGCCAGGCACCGAGGCGGGGTAAGCGCCGGCTTCTTCGGCGGCTTCCCCGTCAGCGGGCACGTGGGATACGTCGGCGACACGGCAGGGGGAGGGGCGGAGGGCGGAGCGGAGGGCGGGGCGGAGGGAGGGGCGGAGGGAGTGGAGGCTGGGCAGGTGGCAGGGCTGATGGTGCGGCCAATGAGGTCGGCGTATTCGGTGGTGTTGACCGACCCAGCAGGGCAGGCCGGCGGGGACGTTGAGGGGTCGCAGCAGGCGATGTTTGCGGGGTAGACCCGCTGCTGGTGTAACAGGCGGTCTGGGAGTTGAAGGGGAAAGGGGCAGAAGAACAGAAAGAGGGTCTGGGAGTATGATGCATAGACACTGAAATGGGTGCAGGAGGGAGTGCTAGTGGGGTAGACTCCGCAGCTGGTGAAACAGGCAGTCTGGGGGGCGGAGGGGAAGGGGGGGAGAAGAGCAGCATGGACAAGGGAGGATGAAGAAAGATGAACCAAACGGACCAATGAGGACGGAACGGCCGGGACGTAGAGGGTCGCAGCAGGCGAATTTTGCGGGTAGACTCCACTGCTGGTGAAACAAGCGGTCCGTGAGGGGGTGGAGAGTAGTGGAGGGGAGGGGGGGGTGGAGGGGGAGTATGGAAGAATTATATAACAAGAATGCGATGGGATGTGTGAAGCAGGCGTGTTGGGCTGGTGGCAACAGGCAGTGCTGTGGAGGATTGGATTAGATGATGGGGATGCTGGCATGCTACAAGGAGGTGGAGGAAGAAACTACTTTTGAGGCGCCTCAATAATAGACTCCTCACGCAACAGGCAGTGCAGTGCTGTGGAGGACTGGATTGGAGGATGGGATGCTGGGATGCTACGAGGAGGTGGAGTGGAGGAGGAAGTGGAGAAAAGGCCGCATTGCAGAATGGCAGGTTGGGAAAACACGAGAAGCGCCACATATTTGCAGGCCGCCGCTCGAACATCCCACGTTTCCGATTAAAAAGGCAAGAAGAAGGTGGATTGGTAGCAACAGGAAAAGCAAGGGAGGCACTTACTGTAGAGAATTTAAAGCTGAAGTTGGGCACGCCGAGGGACTTGATGACGTTTGCAACAATGACGTTCATAAAGTCAGGGTAGGCGGTGATGAGCCCAGTCAGTTGCATGTCAGGGCCAACTGTTATGGAGTAAGTGGGGCATTAAAATAGAAAAGGTGATATATATTATATATATATATATGAACTAAGGATAGGAGGTGCGGAGGATCGAGAGTAGATGGGGTTTGCATGATAGGAACGTTCGAAGAGATGGTGATAATTGATCAAGTCAGAGCACGTGCTGATGACGTCAGGCCCATTCCATCACCAACTGTGAATTGATGTGGAAGGATAGATTGAATTGAAGTGCATAGCAGCCATAAAAGAAGGCGTTTATGATGCCTACAACTTGTTTTAAGGTTTTTACCGTGTACCAAATATCAATACTTACTGGAGAGACCCCTGCACGCCTTGAAAAGGCTATCCGCGAAACTGGTGCAGACCGTCATGGTGGTGTTTTTACCGGGGACAACCGCCACGTAGGACCCCGCGTTAGGGTCGCAAGATAGTCCGCACAGCAGATCCTCCATCAGCTGCGCACACTGCGCCTGCCCCGTGAACAGGTCACACACCTGATTGTTTTTTTGGTGGAAAAGTACGTAACAGAGGGGTACACCACTTGATGAAATCTAGTATCCAGCCACACGGAATGTCCTCCCGAGAAGGGAACCACGAAAAAAAGAAATCGCGGCACATATGTCTCCATCAGCTGCGCGCAAGACCCGCCTTAGGACGACGCCGTATCACGAACACAGCTTCGCATTATGGGATATGGGGAAAGCGCGCGTGGGGGTTGGGGTGTATTTGGGGGGGTTAAGAGGGGGAGAGGGAGAATTGGTGGGGGGGGAAGAGGGGCGGACGAAGGCAGGCAAACCAGCCACAGGCGCGAGGTTCTACGAGCAGCGCGAGATGCGCAAAAAGGCCGCGAATTTGTCAAGCTACGCTCACGTGCGCCGCAACAAGCATCACCCGTTGTCAACTCCCACGCCGCAAGCGCAGCGCTCCTGTTGACTAGCACGTAAGAGCGCTCCATTTGGTTCTCCTGTTGACTAGCACGTAAAAGTGCTCGTCTCGTCTCACCCTCCGTTGCTTTGAGACGTCTCAAAACGAACCTGCTGTCATCCGCGCACCTGTCACCTTCAATCACCGCGCTTCGTCTCACCTTGAAGCTAGGCTCGGCGCGGCACGATCAAGTCCACGAATTGCTTTGAGCCGCGAACCTGCTATCATCCCCGCGCCTCTCGCCTTCAAACACCTAAGAGTCGCGTCCATCAAGCCGACGAATTGCGGGCTGATCTGCGCGACGACGTCGGTGTGATGACTTTTGAAACAACTTACAAGTAACCTCGTGCGCGCCTCACCTTGAGGCTCGGGTCGATCAAGTCGACGAATAGCGGGCTGATCTGCGCGACGACGTCGGTGAGGTTGGTCCCGACGAGCCCGAGCGCAGTGTTCAGATCGGAGCAGTCCGCGCAGCACGTGTAGTCCGCCGCCGCCAGGCAGCGGGGCGGGGTAAGCGCCGGCTTCTTCGGTGGCTTCCCCGTGAGCGGGCACGCGGGATACGTCGGCGACTTCGCTGGCGACGGGGAAGCGGCTGCGACCCACGACGACTGGCCGTGGACGTGTGCGACAGAGAGGGTGGCGACGACGAGGAGAAGTAACAGCTGGCGAACGTTTTTCGTCATTATGGCGGTATTAATCTGCGACAGTCGCAGCGAGAATAATTACCACTGTAGCGACGGTTTGGGGGGTCGTCTATGCGCGAATGCTAGGGCAGGGACTCTGCGACAGTCCGAGTCGGTTTGGGTGACAGCTGAAAAAACGCGTCAGTAACGATAGTATCACATGCAGTGTATGCGCGGCCGTAAAAACAGCAAAAATATAAGGGCCTTGCTACGAAACGGACTCGTCACTACACAACTCGGCAGGGTGGGACCGTAAAACTCTTGAGACTGAAATGCATCATGATAATGCTTTTTGCAGGTCTTCGCACTGCAAGGTGGAGATAGCAACAGAAACCAAGCAGGGAGTCTTTTTTGCTGCTGGGCTGACTGGTCAGGTCGGCTTGCTGGTTCCAAGCAGGGCGCAGCTGCCGTGATTGCAACGGAGAGAGGTGGGTTTGGCGAAAGCACCGAATTTCAAATGGGCTAGCCGCTAGCGCCTAGTCTGGTGCCCAGACCGGAGTTGTTCGGAGATGGACGGACTCCGTCTGTTGCGTTCCCCCCTTGCATCTCCGCTCCGGTTCCGCCTGTCTGGAGATGCCAAGTTGCATGCTGAACTACACTACGCCCCGCGCGGTGGCATGGGGACAGGGCCGTTCCAAATGCATGTACAATCCAGCCCGACACTCTCCAACGCAAAACACCTGACTGCCCCGCAACAAAACACGCTCTTTGGACGGCCCCAAAATTCCTATCGAGAAGGCCTGTGGGGGACCGCATCCGAGGGCCTTTGGTCAAGCTTCTCGTCTAGAGCGGTTCAGAGCTCTGTGCGCTGAATTTGAGCGGCGTAGAGCTCTGAGCGACCCCGCAGACTTGACTACAAACTTGACAGGAGGCTAGGAGCGCGCCCTGAATGGAATTCGACACTGGTGCTGCTCACCGAAGTTGGCCGATAACCGACCAATTCATCACGAAACGTGCTGAAGTTCGTGTTCAGTTCTTCCTAAAACAATCTAAGTGCTCCTCGTTTCACTTTCCGGAACTGTGCTGTGCTCACTGTGCTGGATGCGGTTTTTGTGGGGTGGGTGGGGGGAGGGGGGGGGAGAAGGGGGGGGGGGTGTGGGGGGAAATACAGGCGAGGAGCTGAGATGGGGTGATTGGTTGTGCGATGCCGTGAACTTATCTGACGATATCGTGACGCCGCGCCATCACGCATCGATGGTCGACCGTGTTGTTACGGCTCGGATTGGAACAATGCTCAGTATTCTTTTTACAAGGCAAATACAGGTAGTAAAAAAAAATAGAAAACCAGCTCAAGTGCAGGCTTTGTGTGGCCCATCCGTATTCACATGTGTGAGCCACATTCAATCTACCTCACAGAAACGCAGGAGAAAGCAGAGCCATGGCCACATAGAACAGATAACCCAAAACCGTGAAGTAGGCTGAGACAGGAGGCGAACCAGCCTTGGGAGGGGGAGGACTAGCAGGAGCTGGAGGAGCAGTAGGGCCAGTTGGAGGTGCAGTGTTTTGGCATGTAGCGGAGTCAATGGATCGGCCGATAAGGTTTCCATAGTTTGCGGTGATGTTGGCGGGGCAGGTGGAAGCAGGCACGTTGAGGGGGTCGCAGCAGGCAGTGTAACGGGGGTACTGGCCAGTGCCGTTAAAACAAGGCGACTTTGGGGGGGGGGGGGGGGGGGGGTGGGGGGGGGGTGGAGGAGAGATGGGGAGAAGAAGAGAGTCAGGGCGATGAGCTAAGAGAAGGGTTTGAAACTCGATGGAACGGTATGGTGCCTTGCCGTTCGGTTCTGTGACACGGCTTCACTCCAGTTGGCATCTCATTCTACTCAATACAGCCCCTTAGCACAAATGTGATCACGGTGAAATTGGATGGACAAGGAGGGAGCAGAAACACAAGGGAGGAGCAAGAGAAGTGGAGGAGGGTGGGAGGTGGAAAAGAGAAGCCCTTACAGAAGATATTTGGACCTTAAAACCCGCCACTCCAAGCATCTTGACCACGTTCGCGACAATAAAACTCATAAACTCATCGGCTGTGTTAACCAGGCCTGACAGGGTCATGTCTCCGACTGTGATTCAAATGAGGGGACACGGGGACAGAGGGGGGGACTAGGGCAAGATTCAGGGAGGACAAACGAGAAGCCAAATACGATAGACAGTAGCAAACGTGTTTACAAGGGGGGCGCAGGCGCATATAAGCACGCATTACGAACACACAACAAGCTCATGTCATGACACAGGCCTTTGCACTCTCAGCACATGCTCATAATACGATTTCGTGAAAGTATGGAAATATGATTTTGCATGGGAATTGGCATCAAGGATCGAAAAAGGCATTATCAACATTAGACAGGATACTCACATGCAAGACCCTTACGTTTTGCAAAGACGTTGTCTACTCGAGGCGAACACACGTTCTTGATCAAGTCCGAAACTTCCTAGCACTCACATTCAAGACCCTTGCATTGTGCAAACGCGTTGCCACTAGATTCGAACGCACGGCTATGATCAGTCCAGTGCTGGGCTTCCTAGCATAGCCGCAGGCATTAGGGTTTTAAAGAAGCCTTCTTGATGAAACCGATTCTCACACTCAAGTCCCTTGCATTGTGCAAACACGCTGAGTGGGAAATTTCCTGAAAACTCGAACCCACGTTCAAGATCAATCCAGTGTAGGATGTCTTGGAGTGGGAGCTGGATTACGGTTGCAAGGGAATGCTTCCGATAAACAGGATCCTGAGGCTCACAATGAAGACCCTTGCATTGTGTGAAGACGTTGTCCGCAAGATCCGAGCATACGCTCATAATTACTCCAGTGTTGGATGTCGCGGTGTAGGAGCCGGCGTTAGGGTTGCACGACAGCCCGCACATCAGGTCCTCTAGCAGCTGCAAGCATGGCGTCATGCCGATGAGGGCATCGCACACCTGGAGGCAGGAGGCAGGAGGGGAACGGGAGGCCGATCGAGCGCTGGGGATTGTGAAAGAAGGGTGGGGAGAGAGCGGCATCAGGGTTGCAGCAGGGTTGCACATCAGGTTCACCAGAAGCTGCAAGCATGGCGTCATGCCGGTGAAGGCATTGCACAGCTGGACTGCAGGAGGGGAAGGGAAGGATTGAGAGCCAGGAGGTCATGTATCGGCTGCAGGGGTGGCGTCATGCCCATGAGGGCATTGCACACCTGGAGGCGAAAAATGGCAGGAGAAGAACGCAAAGTGATTGAGGGCCGGGGGTTCTGAGGGGTGAGAATGGCGTTAGGGTTGCAGGAGAGCCCGCGCATTAGGTCCTCCAGAAGCTGCAAGCACGGCGTCATGCCCATGAAGACATTGCACACCTGGAGGCAGGAGGCAGGAGGCAGGAGGCAGGAGGGGAGTCTAACTGAGGGCTGGGGATTGTGAAAGGGTGGGTGAGAATGGCTCTATGGTGGGCTGAAGTGCTATTCTCAGGCGCCGCGATATACAAGCCTCTATGTCTACGGTCGCAAAGCTGTGCTGACTGAAAAGCGCAAGGCTGACTGAAAATCGCAAGGCTGACTGAAAAACGCAAGGCTGACTGAAAAGCGCAAGGCGAGCCCCTACGTAGTAAGTCTGCGAACCAACGCACCGGCGAGTCTGAAACGATCCCATCCGCGATAATAGGATTAATCTCCGCCACCACGTCTTTAATATTCGACGCTACCAGCTGCAGAGACTGGCTCAGATCCGTACAGTTGTCGCAGCACGATTGGGCCTTGGCGGCCGGGCAACGCACTAGCGGAATGGTGGGTTTTTTGGGCGGCAGCCCGGTCAGCGGGCAGATGGACGACGAACCGCCTGACGCAGGCGGCGCGGCCGGCGCGGGAGGGCGGGAAACCGCCTGGCCGTGGAGAATAGCTAGGGCGGCGACGGCGACGAGAAGCAGTAAATCGGGAAGTCTAGTCATCGCTTAGAATCAACTGAGAGAAGAAGGAAGAAGTCCTGTTTGCGAAGGGAGAAAAACAGACACGAGGAAATGAGAGGAAGTTCGAGAAAGTTGGCAAAAGCAAGATGAGGGGGTGGAACGGAGGACATGATGCCACAATGCGTCTCATTGCGGTTCGATACGATACTTCAAGTTCAAGAGCGTTCGAATAAAGACAGAAAACGGTTGAGTAGGGTATTTACCAAAACGGTTGAGTAGGGATTGCGCTCGAATGATATTGCATCATGGGAATTGGGCCAATTTCTCCACCTCAGGCCGCGCTCAGAAGTTTGGATGACAACAAAGTTCACTCGTACGACTCGGGAACCGGGAAATACACATTGCAATGTTGAGTCATGCGACTCGAACTCGGGACAAGCGAAACCTCGTACGAGAAGGAACCGCGACCAAATGCGAACGGGAAGCTGCCAGGAAGCGAACAGTCGTGCCAACGTTCGCGATGGAATGTCAGACGGGGCTCGCAACAACGTTCGCGAGAAATCGCATGCTGTGTTGTCCAGGATGGGGTACTGCCCCTCCCAAAATCCAGGGGCAACCCAAAACCGAATCGTATGGGTAAACTTTGGTGTCCTCGACCTTCAGAACGTCATCTCAGATGTCACTCACAATGACCATCACATTCCCCCCAAACCAACCAGCACCCAAGTAAAGATGATGAACCTCGACGATAAAAAAAGCCCTGCTGGATTCCAGGGTCGTGGCTGGTCAGTGACCACGCAATAGCAGTTTGCTTGGAGTGACTTCAGAGGTGGGTAGTGAAAACTTACTATAATGAGAATAAAACCCTGATTCACCAAAGGAAAGCATACTCCGATAACACTCTCCAAAATTATGTGTGATGAAAAGATATATATACTTCATTCTTGGGAACATCGAGAACGACCCCCGACTTGAAACCATGACACAATTTAAGCTTAGACGATATATTGAGAGGAGAACTTGGCACACTACCTGGACACTGGTGCAAGGAAAACAAGGGCGCAGAAAAAAAAGCAGGGAACATAGATGGGCATGTGAATTCATCTGGAATGATGCGAGAAAAATGAAAAGAGACCATGAGGTGAGGAAGGAGGAGGTTCAACGTTTAGTCTGCACATTGCTCATGGTCATCATCACCTGTACATGTTGTTGCTTGTTGTCTAGCAGGGTCAGATAGCAGGGCTCTGGGGTTGTGATGGAACATGCCGGCCGGCCATTGCGTAGCCAGTTAGAGTTCATACGTGGCACGATGTTGAGGGAGAAAGGGCTCACCCCTGCCAGCCCCGCTGCCATGTAGCCAAAGGTGGAGCTGTCACTCACTAGCAACAGGTCGCTGGGGAGAGGGATGGGGGGTGGGAGAGAGGGGAGAGAGGGGGGTAGAGTAACAGGGGGGTTGTTGCACTCACCCCTGCCAGCCCCGCTGCCATGTAGCCAAAGGTGGACCTGTCACTCCCCAGCAACAGGTCGCTGGGGAGAGGGATGGGGGGCGGGAGAGGGGGGAGAGAGGGGAGTAGAGTAACGGGGGGGTTGTTGCACTCACCCCTGCCAGCCCCGCTGCCATGTAGCCAAAGGTGGACCTGTCACTCCCCAGCAACAGGTCGCTGGGGAGAGGGATGGGGGGCGGGAGAGGGGGAGAGAGGGGAGTAGAGTAACGGGGGGGTTGTTGCACTCACCCCTACCAGCCCCACTGCCATGTAGCCAAAGGTGAAGATGTCACTCACCAGCAACAGGTCGTTGGTGGGTTTGTGGGTTTCCGGGGGAGGGTTGTTGGAACCAAGAAATAACTGACGTGGTGGATAGAAATGTTGGTTGTAGATACCATCACACGGACAATGGTCATACGAACAGCACCACGTGTGAAATATCCACGTATATAGGGCGTAGATAGGGTCATGACAAAAAATCGACCAGAGTAACATCACATGAACAGTACGGCATGAACTGTACCACATGGATAGCAGCCACATCTCCTTGAGCGCCCTCTCCAGCTGCAGAAGATCTCCCGTCTTTTGCTCGCCCTCATGGCTCAGGCTGCACGCAGGGAGGGAGGGATGGTGGGAGGGAGGGAGGGAGAGAGAGAAGCATGACCCTTACGGTATTCTGAACTCGTGCTCCCTCCACTATACCTGCAGCAGATCGCCTGGTTTCTGCTCGCGCTCGTGGCCTAGGCTGCAAGCATGCAGGGAGGGAAGGAAGGAGAGGGACGAGTGGAGGGCAAAGAGAGGGATGAGAAGGACGCAGAGAGGCATCCTACAAGGCGTCACACAAAAGCGTTCACGCACGACGGAGAGAGAGAGATTGGGGAGAAGAGGAAGTGTGGAAGGGTAACAAGGATACTTGGTGATGGCATGGTGTAACGACTGCAACCAAGTTAGAGAGCACACGCACCTGGTTACTGCGACGTTGTAACCCTCGAGTGGTAACCCTTCTGTGTAGAGCTCGTGCAATGCATCTATATAGGAGCGCTTTAGAGAGGCCACCAACACACCAACGCTGCGCACAGTGCCGGCTGCTGCAGCCTTCTGGATTGAGTCCAGATCACTCGTGTCAGTGTCACTTGCGTTTGCTGTCCCCTGGGGAAAAAGGGTGGTGTGATAGAGGAGCAAAAGTGGAATGAGACAATGTAGTAGAGGGTGAGACGAGAAGGTATGAGATGCAACAAGACCAGACCGGATGGAATGGGCTGGGATGGGGCAGGATGGTGGGATACTAACCAGCATCTCTATACCTGTTTGCTTGCTCAGAATCTCATCTGTGGGACATTGACAGCACAGCGCAGCACACGGGTCCAACAGGCAAGCCGACAGACGCCCCTTCCTCATGCATTACCTGTTTCCGTGCAGTTTCCACTGGTCGTGAGGCAGTACAGGGGGAAAGGCCAGTGGGTATTGTTGATAGCACAGTGCGGCACGGTGCGGCACAGTGCAGCACATGGGAGAAACAGGAAGACTCTGTTGCTTCTCGCGTTACCTGCTTGCCTGCTAAGAGTCTCCACTGGTCGTGAGGCAGTACAGGCGGAAGGCCATGGGTGATGTTGACAGCACAGTGCAGCACACGGGAGAGGGCCTCGCCTTCACTGCTGTTGCTGGGGGTGAAGTCACGGATCTGACGGGGGGGAGGGGAGAGAGAGAGGAAAGCAGTAGAAATTGACAGGCCAAGGAGGCTATTTCCGAGGCGCCTAAAATATGGACTCCTCATGCCTGTGGGTAAAGTCACGGATCTGACGGGGGGGGGGAGAGGAAGAGAGAGGAAGGGGATATGGATAGGCCAATGAGGAAACAGAAGTGAGGAACGACCCAAAAGATTCATCCTGTTTACGAGGAGAGGAGGGTGTTTACACTACCCGGATCCCTGACCTGCATTGGCCCAGACCTGGGCGCTGAGTTTGCATTGCCACAGACCTGGATGCCAACCCTGTGTTGGTACGGGGCGAGGTAGGCTCGGAAGGCGCGGGTGATTTCCTCCCAGAGGTAGTTGGCGGGGTGCAGCAGGTAGCGCGCCATGTGCATCAGAGGCAGGCGGTCGGGGAACAGCCGCTCCAGCTCTTGCTGTGGGGGGAGCAGAGGGGCAGATGGGAGCAAGGGAGAGTGCGGCATCTGACCGAGTCACATCCACGTGCATCAAGGGCAGGCAGTTGGGGAACAGCCGCTCCAACTCAGACAGTAGGGGGGAAAATAGGGAGAGAGAGAAACATCCAGCAGACAGAAAGAATTCTGCTGATTCGATGATCCTTAAGGCCTGTGGCCGGGGAGACAAAAAATTATAGGGAAGAACGAGAGACGAAAAAGGAAATCTACGACAAAATTATTTTTAAGGAATGAAAGGGAGAGGAGACATACATCGAATTCCGGCACGAGGTAAAGGCCAGGCAGGACATACTCCTCTGTGATCAGAGCCAGGAATCGGACGGCTGAGATTCGCTCCTGCTCCTGCGAGCAAAAGAAGACGAGATCTGTGTCGTTCACTCTGCGGGTGAGACGAGAGGGAAAAGAGGGGAAAAGCAGCAAACAAAGAAAGTGGACGTCAGGAAATCGTGAGGCGCAAAAGGTTATTTACACACATATTTATTTATATAACCCAAAGACGACTGCAATGACTCACGAGTAATTGAGATTGCTGAACGCAGCATCCGCATCATCATCGGTGGTGTTGGGTGCAGGTGCACCCGGTTCTTGGAAAGCATTGTAGCCAATGCGCCGCTTCTCAGCTCTCAGCCTCATGTGGCTGGTTATGGCAGCATGGGAGAGCGGACGGGGGCAGGGAGGGTTTGCAAAAGGAGAGAGGGGGAGCAGGAGGCGGTCCTTCTCATAGGTCGAGGTCGCTATATGATCACTGATGGAAAATCGGAACTTGGAGAATGCTATGTTCTTACGAACGAGATGCACAGGGGAAAGCAATGTGCGTGCTCACTTGAAGGAGCCCTTGTTGAGAGAGGGGGTGGCCCAAGAGGAGCATACGAAGGTGTTGTTGCAGAGAACGGAAAGGCCAAAATGCACAAAGCAGACGCATAGGGAAAAGAAATGTGAGAGCTCACTTGAAGGCGGCCTTGTTGAGAGCGGGGGGTCTCCAGGAGGAGTAGGGAGAGGGTTGCAGAGGAATAGGGAAAGGCCAAAAGATACGACCAGAAGCATTGTGGCAAGCAATGCAAGAGCTCATTTGAAGGAGCCCTTGTTGAGGGGGAGGAGTAGGGAAAGGGGTTGCAGAGCAGGAAAGAGCCAAAATGCACGAACCAGACACGTAGCAGAAAGCAATGTGAGAGCTCACTTGAAGGAGCCCTTGTTAAGGGCGGGGGGTGCCCAGGAGGAGTAGGGGAAGGGGTTGCAGAGAAGGCGTGCGGGGAAGCACTCAGGGTTCATGATGAGAGTGCGGTTGGTGAGGAGGGCGTATGTGAAGGAGGAGACGAGAGATAGGAGCTGGTTGCCCAGGCCTGGACAGGGAAGGGGGGTGGAATAGGGCGAGGGAAAGACCAGTCAGTGGGGGGATGCGAGAGAGAGATAGCAATGGGTTGATGATGAGCGTGCGGTTGATGAGGAGGGCGTAAGTGAAGGAGGAGAACAGGGAGAGCAGTTGATTTCCTTGGCCTGCAGGGTGGTGAAGCAGCGGTAAGAGAGAGGGCGAGTGGGCCGGGTAGGGGGGAGGGAAACGGGAAAGCACTCAGGGTTGATGATGAGCGTGCGGTTTGTGAGGAGGGCGTAGACGAACGAGGAGACGAGGGAGAGCAGCTGGTTGCCTAGACCTGAACGGGAGAAGAGACCAGGGGAGGGGTCGGGGGGTTGGGGCTGGGAGGTAAGAGAGAGGGTAGGGACTTTGTGCAATGGAAGAGAGATAACAGTTGATCGATGACTAGATGCAGCTGATGGGGAGGGTGTATATGGAAGGAAGAGGAGGGAAGACAGATCTGGGATGTGGTCTGTTTTTGAGAATTCTAAAAAACAGCGACAACAGTTGATTGATGACTAGATGCAGCTGATGAGGGGGGTGTATATGGAAGGAAGAGGAGGGGAGACAGAGCTCGGACGTGTTCTGCTTTTGAGAATTCTAAAAAACAGCGACAACCGTTGATTGGTGACTGGATGCAGCTGATGAGGAGGGTGTATATGGAAGGAATAGAGGAGCGGAGGCACAGCTTGGTTTCTGGCTGCAGGTTGGTGATGCTCTGTGAACTCACCACTGTAGTTGGGCTCAACCCAGAGAAAGTACTTGCACCCTGCCACGTGTGCGGCTGTGGCGTTCTCGTGAAGGCCCTTGGACCTGCATGCACAGAGATGCGTGCATGGCACATGGTGCATGGTGCATGGTGCGTGGTGCATGGTGCATGGTGCATGGTGCATGGTGCGTGTACGGCGTATGGTGAATTGGTGCACGGCGCATGATGCATGGTGTATGGTGCATGGTGCATGGTGCATAGTGGAGGACAGAGTGGAGATAGAGTCAGCGGGGAGAGCTGATGAGTCCGTGGGAGCATCAAGTGCGAATGAAATGAAGGACTGGTGAATATGAAACTACCAGTGAAGAAAGATGGGAACTAATGCAGAGTAAGTGCAAATGCAAGTGAGGGGAGCATGACATGACAGAGGCAATCATGTAAAAAACTGGAAGTCAATTTCACAGGCTTCAGTTCCGTTAGAGGAACATAGTGACTCACGAGTCATTGAAGAATGCCGGCCAGTTGGCAACGGGAGCCGTGCATGCTGCATGAAGGGTCGAGTAGTGCTGCAGACGCTGCACTAGAGCCTCTGACATGCCTGCCTTGTTGCTGTACGACTGCGATACAGTCACAAATGCCAATATAGGCACGCAATGAAGGAAATTCCACCTTACCCACGTGTGCCTGGGAGCATCCGTGCTAGCGGATGAATAGTACTACAGGGCATACAGCCAGCGTGGACGAGGCATACAGAATCAGGCATCAGTGGGAAGGGATTGACGTGTAGATACACACAAAGCAGCCATGCAGCCATACAGATTGGTAGTAGCGTCGTTCAGCCATGCTCCAGCAACGACCCGAAGAATCCGGATCCGCACTGACACCCGAGAAGCTTCCATCCGCGCCGTTGATTTCAGAGGTCACTGAAGGGACTTCGACTTGACGGTGACGGTAACGGCGATGGCGAGCTCTGAGCGCCGCATCGGGCTCGTACAGTAATCGGCCTCGTTGTGCATTCAGGCGATGATGCTTATATCGGGAGTGTTTATAGCGGTGCCCGACTCTTCCGGTGTTAAGTCGAGCTGGATTAGAGCTACTATCTTCCGCATTTCCCATAAATTCAGAAGAATCATCTGAGCTTGCTGCAGGATTCTTCACATATTGCCCTTCAAACCAATCACTGAGCCATTTTCGAGAATGAGGAGCACCATTGAAAGGATTAGGGGAATCTGACAATGCCTCGCAAGACATGTACTTGGGCGAAGGCACTAGATAGCTAAGCGTCAGAAGAGGCAAAACCAGCTGGCGTAATGGCATCGCATGCCAGACTGAATCGCCAGGAGTCATGCTGACTAGAAGAGTCTGCGGAGGGTGAGTGGATGGATGCTTGAAAGAGAATCCCAAGGAATCAGTACTTCGATGCACCGAGTGCCTGAATTTAGGGCCCTATTCATAGTAACTTTCGAAACTCGTCTCGATTGCGACAACGCGATTTCAGTACTCTTCTGCTTCCACCGACACAGATTCCGAATATGCCCTCACTCTAATCTTTCCATAGCAGAACAGAAAGCCCGGCAGAAAGGGTACTGGAACCAATGAAAAGGCCTAGCCCTGGTTTCCTGGAAGGTCGTAACCAAGATGCAAATTTCGAAACGAAACGTTTCATGAAATAAAACCAGATCTCTGTGCAAATTTGAGATTTGACAACACGCCCTCGTACCGAGGCATCCAGACGTTCCCGAAAGGCCTCGGATCCCAGTGTCAATCACTTGGGACAAAGAGTAACGGGTTCAGAAGCAGGGCTCTGATTATCACACCAAGAGTAGCTCTTCGACGAATCCGTATGCTAACGGGTAATGTTTCGGAGATTCCGTCCGATAACGGGTAATTTCGGGGCCGATTCCGAGACCTAACGGAATACCCTAGGCTCTAGGCTTAGCGAGAGCCCTGTTCAGAAGCTTGAATGCCTGACTGAAAAAATAATATACTTTCCTCCATGGCTGCCAGCGTTTGTATCGTCAACTCTACGTGGGCGACTCGCAATCACAATGTTTACCAACTCCTCATGGCCGAAAGCGGCTTCAGAACCAAGGAATCAAAGATATTACCAGTATGTTGATTAACGTCAGGGTTTTAACCCAGTGCCAAATCTAGTCCAAATCTTACCTCTTTTATGTGCGATTTTGTAGGACATCATTGTCAATTCAGGCGGAATGTCCATAGCATTTATGGTTGGAAGCTTCCAAAGAGCAGAAGACGAGCTCTGGCAAAAGTAGGATTAGATCGGTTTCGCCTTTTCAGTGCGTTTTCAATACAATCCCTGACATTCGCTCCTATGCGCAGGAGATTCAAAGTCGGACAGATGTTTAAGCACTCTTACGGCTTGTGCATCTGTCCAAGTTCTCAAGACAGTGGTGAATTCGCTCGCCTGTACTGCCAGTAAGGCGCACTGACAGTCTGACACTCGTCTGGCTTTATTTACCAGACCTAACCTGTCATGGTCGCAGATACAATCAAGGTTTCGTGAAGCCTCCTATAATTGAGGTACTTGACGAAAGATCTGCGGTGGAAAAACTCTTGAGGATGGTCCACGTTCTTTCAGGTATGCGCAGCTGTTGTTATCTTGCATGTCGTAGCCGTTGGATTGGGCTAACCATGACTAACCTGCAGAGGCCAAGAAGCAGCAGACTGCCTCACTTCTTAACGACGAGGTATGGTACTTGAATCATTGTGCTCTTGAAATCGAACTTGGTTCTGCTCATTATAGATCATGCCGATCGTTCCTAAACCCTGACAAGCTACATCTATTCTACAGAGGACCGAGTTTGTGCAATCATCAGAAGCCATCATTGCACCTTTGCTTACCATACCCAGCTTGGCCCATCACGAAGCTCAGATGGTATGAACTTCCATGCAGTCCTACAAACTATCTATTTGCCGTGTGCTTTCTACTAAGCTTCAACTTTGGTTGCAGCTTCTTTCGAGCTTTGGTTCCATAGATGCTGTGGCATCTGCAAGTTCCAGCAAAATGGCTGGGGCGACAGGGATTTCTTTACATAAAGCTGAAGCTGTGTCCAGCTTCTTCCGGGATACGTGACCATTGACCATAGCCTGCTAGGCTGGAGTCGAAACAGTAGCTCTACACCACCGTCTAGTGGAAAATGAAGTACTTGGTATTTGAGTAAGGAAGTTTTTGTGATATATACCCGTCATGCTAGGACACAGCGTCGCAGCTACCTGTAAATACAGCTATTACATAGTCAAATGGTCAGTGATACTACCAATAGCAAGTGACAGGCTGGAAACACAAATCAGACAACAGGACAGGCATGTCTCAGGAAGTTAGTGATGATCCTAGGTCAATGATCAGTTTGTTAGTTCCAGTCAGTCGTGGTGGCCTGAGTTTGGTTGGCCTACCACTGAGTCAGTTTGCAACCAATGTGTTGCTTACTGGAAGTATAGATTCTCCAACCTCCATCAGCTCCTCTTCCAATCCAATATGGCTCACCACCACCCTGGTGCTGCTGGCAACTTAAAGCCTCTGGGGTGCACGAAACACAGCCCCCGTACCAGCTCCTCGTGCTGGCCATTTTGCCCCATGTGCGCACAACACATGCAGCACAGCCCCCTGATGTTTGCTGCCGTATCCAATGGCTGCTCCACAGGCTCCACTACCTGCAGCTGGTGCTCCAATCCTGGCAGGTACAGATAAGTCTGCTGCTGCCTGTGTGCTGCTAACCCCAGCTAACCTATCGGCTGCTGCTCCAACGCGGCTCCACTCCACCCAGCCTAACTGCCAGCTCCTACCTGTGCACTGCTGCATCTGTCTGCTGCACCTATCTGACCGCCTCTACCTGAGACCGATCATGACGCCACCATGGCGGCACAACCCATTCAGATAGGACTGATCCTACTTCCTATTTATCCCTAATCCGAAGAAAAATGGCACCCTGTATCCCATTCGGGCTTGCAGCAACCAGCCAGCCTCGGGTTGACACGCTATGCCGGGTCACTAAACGCTAGGTGCTACGTGTCACCACTCACTCTGTTCAAGTGTCGTCACTCACCATGCTCACGTGTCGTATGGACCGACGTATGTTATTGGTCGGTTCTTGAACCACGCTACCATTTCAGGATCAAGCGGCTTTGCTGTGATGGCAGCATCCAGCATCGGCGAGCCGAAAAGTTTTCGAGCTGACCGGAAGTCCCAGATGGACGATTCGGATGATTTTGGCCACGGCTTCTCCGGCAGCTTCTCCTGTTGGTTGGGGCAGGAATGGGTTGCAGTTGAGGGCGTGGAATAGGGTGTAGAGGGCAGAATATATTGATAGCGTTAGCAAGGGAGGAGGGAGGAGGGAAAAGAGTCAAGGAACGGAAAAGGGTCAGGATGGTGGTATGGGCCGGAGATGAGGGGAAGGAAGAGGTGGGATAAGGGAAGAGTGTGAGAAGGAAAACAAACAACAACAGGAATTAGACCGACGAAGCTCACCATGCGATGCAGCAGCGGCCTCCTCTCCCTCTGCCCATACGCCCCCGGGAAAAACGAGCAAAGGAAAGCAAGCACGGCCCGACATAGCCCTAAACCCTAAGCGAAGCAAGCGAGCATGGCTGACAAAGCTCACCATGCGATGCAGCAGCGACCTCCTCTCTCTCTGCCCGTACGCCCTTGGCAGCGCTTGCAGCGGGTTCTTAGAATAGCAGGACGATGGATCCGGCAGCAGAAGACACCCCCTCCTCAGAGCCCTCAAGGCCTTGCCTGGATCCACTAGCGTCTGCTTGAACCAGAATATCAGCTGCCCGTAAATATAATCGCTGTCGTATTCCTTCACCCACTCCCACTCGTCTTGCCGGGGGTAGTGTGCGAACGAGGAGGAGGATGGGGGCGGGACGGACGGAGTGGGAGAGGCGATGTTCCGGCCCAGGTCCGAAGCAACGATGGTCATGGGGGGCGAGTCGAAGGGCGGGTATTCGTGCAGAGCGAACATGTTGGTCGTGTAGGCGTATAAGTGGATGAGATCAGCCGCTGCATCGTTTCGGCTGCCCGCAGTCACAGGCAGCTGAAGCAACTCGTCCCGCAGCCTGTAAATGCAGAGAGAGGGAGGGAGAGAGAGGAAGGCAGAGAGGGGGGGGAGTGAGGGAGGGAGGGAGAGAGAGAAATGCAGCTGAACAGGGGAAGAGGCGGCGAGGGGACGGAAAGGAAGAGGAAAGAAAGGAGCCATTAAGAAGCCAGAGAAGAGAAACAAGCCGCTCAATTGCTTCCTTGTACCCCTTCTCCCCTCTCTCTTCCCCCCCTCCCGCCCCCCCTTTTCCCTTCTCCCCCTCTCCCCAAACTCCCCCCCCTTCCCCCCCCTTCTCCCCCAACCACTCACCAGAGCAAGCTGCGCTTGAGAGCGTGAGCGTTAGGTTTTGGCGTCCTCTCCCTGACCCTCTGCCTGAACGCCACAAAGGCTGGCCGATCCAGATGCAGGGAGATGCAGCGCAGCAGCACGGCCACCACAGACCCCTCCCCGCCCCACACCTTGCGCACCAGCTCGTGCCCCGTCACCAGGCGCAGGGGCGGCGGGCCCTCCTTGGGGTCTCCGTAGAGCGACTTGAGGCAGTAGCGGACCTTGTCCATCGTGGTGGCCAGGTTTTGTAGTCTGCCCAGATACACCCCCTCTGCCTGTTGGTGGGGGAAACGGAGAGGTTGGTGGGTGGAAGGGAGCAGTCAAGGGGATAAGAGAGCACTCGGAGTGACTTGAGGCAGTAGCGGACCTTGTCCATCGTGGTGGCTAGATTCTGCAGGCAGCGGAGATACACCCCCTCTGCCTGTTCAGCAGGGAGCCGGGAGCAGATAGAAAAGTAGAGAGCTCTGCAGCAATAGCGAACCCTGTTCATTGTGGTGGCGAGGTTTAGTAGAGGACCCACGTACACCCCCTCTGCCTGGTGGTGAGGTAAAGGGACTACTTGAGAGGTGGGGATGGAAGGAGGGGAGCGACTAGAGGCAGTATGGGACCTCATCCATTGAGGTGGCTAGGTTCGGTATACACTCCAAATATACTCCCCCCCCTCCCCCCCCCCTCTTTTGCGTGATTAGGACAGGGAGCAAACTGAGCGTACCTTTGTGTCAAGAAAGTAGACAAATAGCCAGACTCAGTGCACTTGCCAAGGTGCCATGTGTGCTGGGAAAAAGAAAAAAGAAAGAAAGAAAAGAAAAGAAAGAAAGAAAACGCCTCGCCACATCTCAATAACCACCGCGCGACAAACGCCGTACCTCGTTCTTTGCATCTTCTTCCGGATCCCAGCCCTCTTCCTCCTCCTCCCCCTCATCCCCCTCTTCCTGGTCCTGCTGCCCTTGAACACCCTGCTCCTCTTTCTCCAGCCGCTGCAGCCCCAGTTGCTGCTGCTGCTGCCTCTGCTTCTGCCTCTTCCTCTTCCTCCGTCTCTTCCTTTCTTCAGCAGCCGAGTAATCATCCTCGTCGTCCTCCTCCTCCCCCTCTTCCTCTTGCGCGTACTCTTCATCACTCCCCTCCTGACTTCCATCACTCTCACTAACGTCACTGAACTCCCTCCCATTCCTATCACCCTTTCTTTTATCCAAGCCCTCTCCTGTCTCCATAGCAGCAGCACCATTCCCATCGCCTCTCCCCCCGTGACTCTTCTCACCACCATTCCCAACATTCGTGCCGTCTTTCAAGCCACCATCCTTCCAAAGGCTGCCGTTGAGACCATTCACAAGACGACAACCAGTGCCACCACCACCAGCACCCTTCACGCCACCATCAACACCGTCCACACCACCGTCAGTGGCAGTGGCAGCAGGACCACCAGCAGCAGCAACAGCCCCAGCAGCACTACCACCATTTCCAGCACTATTTGCACCGCCATTGATTGCATCAACATCCATGCCATCTAAACTGCCACCACCATCACCGCCACCACCATCACCACGATCATCACCACCAGCCCTGCTGCTCTCTGCTCCAATCATCGTCGCGTTTAATTTTGGTATCACTCCACCCCCATCCTTGCTATAACCATTCGCTCCAGGAACTCCGATTTCGACCCCCCCTTCTCCTCCATTTCCGCCCCCTCTTCCTCCCCAACCCCCTTCTCCCTCCGCCCCTTTGGCCCGTTCACCCCTCCTCCCCCCTTCCCCTCCCCCTTCTCCCTTTCCCCCGCCACCACCACCAGCATCAGCACCAGCAGCAGCACCAGTAGCATTATTCGCACCAGCTGAGTCGCTGCCAGCAGCAGCATCAGCGGGACGCTTGTGCCCCCCCTGCTTGGCCCTCTCACCCTGCCGCTCCTTTACTATCAGCTCAGGTAAGAGGTACTTCTCCTCCTCTATAAACTCCATCTGGGAGAAAGAGAAGAAGACGGAAAAGAAAGAAACGGATCAGGAACAAACCTCTTGCTCTGTCGCTCCTTTACTATCAGCTCCGGTGGCAGGTACTCGTCCTCTTCTGTGGACTCCATCGGGGAACGAGGGGGGGAGAGAGAGCAAAAGAACGGGAGAGCAAAAGAATGAGGACCGAAAGGACTCTATTCTTGAGGCTCCTCAAAAACAGAAGCATGTCCGCCGCTACCGCTATGCTGCTTCTTTACTATCAGCTCCGGTGGCAGAGTTCTTCTCCTCCTCTATAAATTCTATCTAAAAGAGCAGGAAATGAATCATTCACAACAAGAGGTTAACAGAACGAGGTGTCAGAACAGAACAGGTGCAGAATGGCACCTGCTCTTACCGAATGGCACCTTCTCTTACAGAATGGCACCTGCTCTTACAGAATGGCACCTGCTCCTACAGAATGGCACCTGCTCCTCCCCACCCTCCCCACCGGGCCCAACAGCGTGCTCCCGATGCGCAAGGTGCAGAGAGAGCATCGGGAGCAGCGCGCTCTCCTCTGACTCTCTGGTGCCCCCTTCGTGGACGCTGTCAACAGCAACGCATGGCTTAAGAATTTCCCATCCCCTCCCCTCCCCTCCCCTCGCCTCCCCTCCCCTCCCCTCCCCTCCCCTCCCCTCACCTCCCCTCCCCTCGCCTCCCCTCCCCTCCGCCCCCCTAACCACTTACCAGGAGAGCGGTATATCGAATGGCCCAGTCAGGCAGCTCCGACAGCAGGCTGCTCCCGATGCCCGCCCTGCGGAGAGCACTCTCCTCCGCCTCTGTGAGCGGCCCCCCTGTGGACGCCATGAGCAGCAGCGCGTGGCGCCGTACCACGGCATGGTGGTCGCTGATCACATGCGTGTACGACTGGCCGCCCCCCAAGTGTAGGTAGCTGCCCTTGCAGTAGCGGTGGCCGCACAAACAGACTGCCTGCTTGTATTCCTCCACGCTCTGTGGATGGGAGAGGGAGGGGAGGGGGAGGAATGGAAGGAAGGAACGGAAGGAGGGGAAGGAGGAGGGGAAGGAGCGAGCACCACAGCACGATGATTGCTGATCATCGTCCCCCACAGTCTTCCCTTCCCCCTTTCCCCCAGAAACTTAAGCAAGAAGTGGTGAAAATAAAGGGACTACAGCCTACGGGAGCGAAGACATCGGGACAACTTTCTCACCTCAGTAACAGAGTTGTAGTCAAAGGTGAGCTCCTCCCCCGGCAGGATGTGGCGAATGGCGTAGACCCCTATCATGTACGAACCATCTACCGCCACCACCCTGCAACGGGAGAAGACAGGGGCAGGGAGAAAGAAAGGGGAACTTCAACGTCAGGAAAGAAACCGAAGATCTCCTGAGGAGTTTTGGTTCATTAACCACGGACTCGCTCACATTGAGCGGAACAAATAAGGTAGCTGTACCGATTAAGGTACCTTATTGGCACTCTGCAGTAGGGTAGGTAAAGGACCTACTCTTAAAAGCGGAGAAGGAACCAACTCACTTGGCTTATCTCTTGAGCTACTCACTTGGCTTCGCAGTTGGGGGTGCACGAGTGGCAGAGGTGAGTTGTTGATGGCACGAGTTGGCACGAGTGGCACGAGTTGTTGGGTAAGGGGCGGCAGGAGAGGAAGGGAGAGGCAAGGAAGGCGTTGGAGGAGGGAGCCGAGGGACTCACTTGGCTTCGCAGTTGGGGCTGCACGAGTGGCAGAGGCGCGACGCGAAGTTGGCTCGATGCATGGCGTCCACGACTAGGACGTCGTACCCTGCCACGTCACCCTGTGAGCACAAAACGAGGAAGGGGGATTCAAAGGGTACAACAGCGTTGTAGTGTCTCCGAGATGGCCCAATGAATGCCCATACTACCAAGCCTTGCACCACCACTAGCATGGCACCTTGGCCTTTCCAGCAGGATGTTGTAAACATCTGAAACCGCCTCCTTGTTGTGGATCATGCGGATGCCGTGCTGGTTCCCACCTCCCTCTCTCTTGCTTCACTGTCCCTCCCCCACTTCTACTGTAGTCACACCTTCCTCTCGTTGTTGTCACACCTTGGGTCGTTCCAGCAGGATGTTGTAGAACTCCGACACCGCCTCCTTGTTGTGGATCATGCGGATGCCGTCCTGCTTCTCATGCCACCGCCACGGCGGGTACACCTCGCCAAAAAACTCCACCACGAAGTCCTCTTTAGGGATGCCCTGGGGCGCCTTGCACACCACGCCCAGGCCCTGAGAGGAAGGACAAGGGAGGTGTAGCGTTGGGAAGCAGGGGAAACGAGGGCGAGAGGAGAGGGCTCGCTGACTGCCAGCCACCGCCGCAGCGGGTACACCTCGCCGAAAAACTCCACCACGAAATCCTCCTTGGGAATACCTTGGGGCGCTTTGCCAGACCACGCCCAGGCCCTGAGAGGAACTAGTGAGGACGGAGGCATGGAAGGGGAGAAGGGTGCTTGAGGTTGAGGCGCCTCAAACCGCGGCGGGCTGGTGCACCTCGCCAAAGAACTCCACCACGAAATCCTCCTTGGGAAGGCCCTGGGGCGCTTTACACACCACGCCTAGGCCCTGCCAGCCAAGGACAAGGGAAGTGTGAGGGAGTAGGGGAAATGAGGGCGGAAGGGGTCTATTTTTGAGGCGCCTCAAAAAAGTGTGAGAGAGTCGAACAGGACCGAGGCCGAGGAATGAGGGTGGAGGGAAGTGGAACCAGTGGGGAGTGCGAGAGGGAAGAACAGGGCCGAGTGGGTGAGGAGTGATCTTTGAGAATTCTAAAAAAAAGGCTCCACTGAAGTGCGAGAGGGAAGAACAGGGCCGAGTGGGCGAGGAGGAGTGAGAGGCAATACGGGAAGGACACCACGCATTGCCAGAAGGGGAGAGGTGGAGGGACGAATGGTGGTCTGCTTTCCTTCTAACAAAAACGCCTTTTCCAACCTTCCTATACGCCAGGTACTTGTCGGGTTTCTTCAACTTCCTGCGCGCCCGCATGGCCGAATACAGCGTCTTGCAGAAGTCCGTCAGAGCATGGACGCCCTCCCTTGGAGGAGCCCGAGTTCAATAGGCCATACGTCTTGCGTTGCTCACCTTCCTGTACGCCAGGTACTTGTCGGGTTTCTTCATGTTCCTCCGCGCCCGCATGGCCGAGTAGAGCGTCTTGCAAAAGTCTCTCAGGGCGTGGTTGCCCTCCTTGTCCGCCGCGATCTTCATCAGCGCCACCACCGGCATCAGGTCCAGCTCCAGGGGGACCTTGCCTCTGAACGAGGCCGCCAGTTGATTGAGGGCGGGTAGCAGGCGCTGTTAAGGAGGGGAAGGTGTGTGAGAGAGAAAGGAGGGTTACAACACGAAGCTTGGCATTGTCGCCCTGCATGTGCGCCACTATCTTCATGGGCATCACCACCGGCATCAGGTCCAACTCTAGAGGGACTTCCCCTCTCAAGGACGCAACTGCAACCAGTTGGTGGAGAGCTGGAAGCAGGCGCTAGAGGCATGGGTGGGTGGGTATGTATGAGGGAAGGTGGGTGGGTGGGTGGGTCTAGTTTTGAGGCGCCTCAAAACTGGGTATGAGGGAAGGTGGGTGGGTGGGTGGGTGGGTGGCTCTAGTTTTGAGGCACCTCAAAACTGGGTATGAGGGAAGGTGGGTGGGTGGGTGGGTGGGTGGGTGGGTGGGTGGGTGGGTGGGTAGGTGGGTGGGTGGGTGGGTGGGTGGGTGGTTGGGTATGAGGGAAGGGAGACATGGGCGGAGGAAATGAGGGTCGGAGCAATGGGCGTGGTCGCTCTCCTTGTCACCACAGAAACACATCTCACTAAAAGCACACCCTCACATCACTCACATGTTGAATAAAGGAATGGCGCTCCTCATCAGCCTCGACGACAGGCGGCATGAAAGGCAGAGTGGAGTGTACAGCAGCAGGTTGTGCGTGTATGGGTCGATGCCACACAATCCCACACCTCACACTCCCACGCCCTAGTATCACACCCCTTCACACTCACATCCTCAATGAAAGAGTGTCTCTCCTCGTCCGTCTCAGCAGGCGGCATGAACGGCAGAGTGTCGAGCAGCAGGTTGTGCGTGTACGGGTCGATGCCATACACCTCCTGCTCGCCGACCTCCGGCCCCACTGCCTTCCTTGGCCGCCACTCCCTCACTTCTGGCAGCTCCAGGTGGATGTACTGCGGGGGGAGAGGAAGATGGGAGAAAAAGGAAGAGCGTCAGCAGGTTACGCATACAGGGGTCGATGCCATACACCTCCTGCTCGCCCAACTCCGGCACTACTGCCTTGCGCGGCCGCCACTCTCGAACCTCTGGCAACTCCAGGTGAATGTACTGGGGGTGGGTGTGGCGGGAGGAGGATATGAGAGGAAAGGGGAGAGGGTGAGCGAGCAGAGTATGAGTACCCTAGGGTTCGATACCATCCACCTCCTGCTCCTCCTCCTCATAGTCCTCTGGCTATTCCATCCGCACCTCCACCTGAAACCCTCCCTCTCCTCTATAGCAACATACTCTTCAACCCAGCCACCACCTCCTCGTACTGCCTAACTGGCAGCCACAGTTAGAGATTTTTTAGAATTCTTAGAAAAAACCCAGCCACCACCACCTCGTCATGCCTAGCTGGAAGCCACAGCGGCACGGAGGACAGGAGCAGGGGGGAGGTAGCTTATCCGTCCCTTCGAGCCGGGGAAGCTGGTGTGGAGGGAGAAGGTGAACAGGCATGAGGGGAGCGGACGGGTTAGCATGGTTGATGGGACAAGGATCGCAGGGCTGCAATCCACCCCCCTCCACCCACAACCTGCTGCACCAGAAGCATCCCTTGGCAGGCATTCCCCTTCCTGCCCATCCCCTCCCATTCTCCTCCAGCCTGCCACCCCTCCCCCTGGGCTCGCCCCACATCCTCGCAGCAGCCCACGCGTTTCTCTGCGAGGGAAAGAAGGCGGCCTGGCTGGCACTCCTCTCCCTGCACTCCACTGCTTGCTGGCCCTTGAAAAACACTCCAATCCGATTCACACTACGCTGTCCAACTTACTTCTTCCCTTCCAACTGACTCCAGTGCTTTCAGTCCCACATACCCCACGTTTCTCTCCCCAACTCACCCGGTTGGCTTCAGCCATGGCCTTGGCATGCCTCGCCTTCTCCTCATAGTCCTCCGGTAAATCCACCCGCATCTTCTGCCTCACCCCCTCGCTCTCCTCCACAATCACATACTCCTCTACCACCTCATACTGCCTCGTCACAGGCGGCACCATGGCGGCCCGGGTCATCCTGTTGCCCCAGTGCCGCCTCATCTCCTCATCCGCTACGTTCACCACTACCACCGGCCCCCACCCCTTCGACCCTTCTGAGGACGACGAGGATTCCTCTTCTTCCTCCTCCTCCTCTGCCCGATCTGCCCTTGAGTTGTCTGACTTGCTCACAGCAGCGGCAGCACCAGTGCCACCAGCAGCAGTGCCAGCAGCAGCAGCAGCGCCACCAGCAGCAGCGCTGGCGGTACCACCGCTGGTGCGGCCTTTCCTCTCCCCTCCCCTTGCCTCGGCCCCTTCTCCCTTCCTCCTCCCCTTCCGCTCCTCTCCCTTCCCTCCTCTCCCCCTTCCCTTCTCCTGCCCCTTGCTCTTCTGACCACGCTCCCTCCCCTCCTCCTCCTTCTTCCTCTTCTTCTTTTCCTGCTGCTGCCTCTGCCTCTTCCCCTCCCTTCCCTTCACCTGCCTCCCTGCTTTCCGCCCCACGGGGCGCACGGACCCTCCCAGGGAGCAGGACGACTGGGCATCCGACCCTGATTCCGACCCCTCCTCATCCGAAACAGGAGAGGAAGGGGGGGAGGAAGAAGGGGAGGATGTGGCCGAGGTGGCTGCGGTGGCTGGTGAGGATGGAGAGGAAGGGGAGGAGGAGTTAGCAGCAGCAGCTGCTGCTGCAGTCTTGGGAATTGCACCATTAGCAGACGCATGCTTAGCAGTGGTCTCAGCTGCTCTGTGTCTCCTTCCATTTGGCTGCATGGCTTTGGTCTTGGTGGTCGCAACTTCAGCAGCAGCAGCAGCTGCGGCAGCAGCTGCAGCAGCTTTCTTGGTCTCGGAACCTGCGTCAGAACCTTCCTCCTCCGCCGACTCGAATGCGTCCAAGTCAGAATCCCCTCCCTCCTCCTCCTCGTCCTCCTCCTCGTCCTCATCCTCCTCCTCTGATTCCGACCAGATATTTCTTCCCGAGTCCCCTTTCCACTCCTCCTCCTCCATCTCATCCTGCCCAAACCTCCCCTCCTCTGAATCACTCTCATATCCACTACTATCCGAATCTGCAGCACTCTTCCGCCTCTTACGCGCTCGCCTCACCCCTCCTCCGCCTCCCTCCCTCTCCTCCTCCCGCTCCTTCCGCTTCACCATACTCCCTCCTCCAACCACCCTCTTCCCTCCGGTTCTCCCTGAAGCAGGCCCACTCCCTACCCCTTCCCAGGCGCCATTCGAGGCCCAGCCCCACTGCCGCCACCACCACCGAGATTACCTCCAAAACCACCACCAGCCGCACCACCAAAACTGCTGCCAGCAGCAGCAGCAGGACGATCAGTGGAAGCAATGTGAGTGGCTGCAAGCGTGTTGAGGAGGCTGGTCTTGATGGTGTCTACAGTTGAGCGGGCAAGTGAGAAGAGCTGGCGTGCCGCTCGGTACATGGGGGACTTCTCACTCACACCGCTGCCGAGAGTAAGTTGAAAAGAGGGGGAGGAGAGGCAGGCCATGAACGGAGGAGAAAAAAAGAAGCTTCAAGGCATGAATGGAGGGGGCAGATTCACGGCATGTAATCCTTGAATCGTGACTCACATAAATATGTCTTAAGAATGATGACTCACTCAAACCATCACTAGTCACTTGAAAACGCTGCTGCTCATGAGCTGAATGTCGCTCTTGAGTCGCGCAAGCCCGCTGGTCCTCGTGCCCCGAGGCATGTTGAAACCCTACACAAGCTCACACACTTTTGAGGCATCTCTGAATCGCAACACTCACGTGAACACGCTGCGGCACATGAGCTGAATGTCGCTCTCGAACCGCACCAGCCCGTTGATCCTCACACCCATAGCCGCCGCCGCCGCTGCTGCTCCTGCTGCTGCTGCTGCCCCTGCAACAGCCGACCCTGCAGGCAACCCTGCCCCTCCTCCTGCTCCCCCACCTCCTCCACCCCCCCCTGTTGCTCCTCCTCCTGCACCTGCTGCTGCTGCTGCTCCAGCAGAAGCAGCAGCACGGGCAATGGCAGCAGCAACCCCAGAGGCGTCACTGTACACCCCATCCTTAAGCCGTTTCTCTAGAGTGGGCAGGTCTAAGGAGAGCCGCCCCCTGCGACTGGCACCTGCTGTTGCTCCTGGTGCTGCATCCTGTGGCTGGAGGGTGGATATGGGATGGGAGTGAGAAACACAAGTGGATGCGAGGGATCAGGGGAAATGAGAGAGGAATCAACACATAGCACGCGCTTAACCCTGATTTAAAAGCCCACACCCCAGGAAGGTTCTAAGCACACGTACCAGTAGCCCCTTGGAGAAAAAGTGCTGTTTGTCCCACTCCTGCAGCCTGCGAACAGCCCCAAGTATTTCCCTCTCCAGCACACGCACTGCCTCCCCATCCAGATCCCCCCTCCCCATCCCCCTCCCCACAGCAGGTGGCGACCTAAACCCTTCTCTCCTCTCTCCCCCCACCCCTCCCCCTCCGCCTCCTCTCCCCCCTGCTCCCGCCCCCCAGCCTCCCCCCCAGCAGCGCCTCCCCCTGTACCAGTCCGCCTGCCCCGGGTCTACCTCCCCCGGGCGCGCCCTGCCCTGAGCTCGACTTGAGTGACAGCCTTCCCCCTGTTGGGGGCAGCATTCCCCCCTTCTTCCTTTCCTGCTGCAGATCCGCCCTGCCTCTGTCCTTGCCTCCGGGTTCCATGCCCTCCTTGCGCCTCTCTTTTCCCGTTCCTCCATCCCTCTCCCTCTCCCTGCCTCGCTCCCTGCCCCGGCTTCTCTCCCCATCCCTCTCTCCGCCCCCAACCCCTCCTGCCCCTCCTGCCCCCCCTGCCCCTGCTATGCCTGCCCTCCCCACAGTACCATGGCTCCGCCCCTCAGAGTCAGCAGAGGCAGCAGCAGCGGCGGCGCTAGAATGCCCACTGCCCGCATTAGAAGACCCAAGGAGCAGCTGCGCCCCAGTCCCCCCAGACCCACCCCTCCCCACCCCTCCCCCTGCTCCTCTCCCTTCCCCTCCTCCTACCCCCCTACCCAGCCTCCTACCACCAACACCAGCAGCACCAGCAGCACCTAAACCGCCACCGCCTGCTGCCTTTCCACTCCCTCCTGAGGGTCTGAGTCCCCGCTGTGACCGCCCATCCACATTGGCTGCTGCTACTGCCTTTGCCAGTGACGCAGCTGCTGCTGCTGCTAGAGGCGCCCCTCTTGAAGGCCTGGCAGGTCAGCAGAAGCAGCAGCAGAAGCAGCAGCAGCAGCAGCAGATGCGTATTTAGAGCCGGGAGCGGTATTGATAGGGGCAGTGGGAGCAGGAGCAGTGGGAGCAAGAGCAGGAGCAGCAAACGCACTCGCTTCTGGTTTAAAGAGACTCGGACAAACTTGCGTGCAGGTGTGAGGGTGAGGAAGAGGAGGTGAGGGAAGGATGGGGCGAGGGGGGCCAGGTGGGGGCACCCAGTGATGACGATAGCCGAGAGGGATGGGTGAGAGGAGAGGAAGTGGTGGAGGGCTGTGGGGGTGAGTGAGGTGCAGTGGGAGAGAGAGAGCACTTGGAGGCCTTCTGGGGCGAATCTCTGGGATTTGGGAGAGAGAAGAAACAGGCGACGAGGGGGAGAGAGAGAGAGAGAGACAAAAGGGTGAGAGGGAGCAAGCGAGAAGCAAGAAACCGTAAGAAGCGAAAAGCGAAGCATGGCCCAAGTGAAGCAAGAGAGGCGAAAAACGGGGAAAGAACCACATGTGAGTCTACTCGACAGACTTTTGAGTCGACTCACAAGAAACGGTAAGAAGCGGCAAGCAACGAGGCATGGACGGCCAAGTGAGGCAAGGAAGGCGGAAATGAGGAAAGAAAGAGGAACAAAGAGTGAAGTCGCAAAATAGCAGAAAAAAATGCTACGTACCTCCAGTGCTCCAAGGGCGGAGTCCTGCAAGCGCGCCCCTAGAGTCGACAAGTCCAGCAGCAGCAGCCCCCTCCACACCCTGTGGAACCCATCCCGCCATGCGCGGCACACCGCTGCACAGCGTGCTAGCATCACCGCGTCCCCCGTCATCCGCCCCAGAAGAATCTCTGCTAGATCTACATTGGACTGAGCTGGGACCTCCCCTTGTGGCTGGGAATGGGGCTGGAGAGCAGGCAGGTGGGATGTTGTCGGAGGCATCGGCTGCAGTGCAGGGGTGGATGGTGATGTCTGTGCCCCAGCAGCTGCGGCCAGATTCGATGCATCTGCGCGTATGACGGCACTTAGAAGCTCAGCTAAGAACCCTGGGAGAATCATTTCCTCTGTCCGTCCGTATTCGGAAACGCCCGACCTAAGACTATCCCGCTTCCCATCACCTGGCAAAACGCCTGAATGACCATCTGAAAGTCCAACAGCCCCTGCGTCACCTACCAATCCTGGCTCTGGCTTTACAGCTACTGAAGGCCCAGAGATGACAAACCGCTCAGAAGGAACCCCAGCAGCAGCACCAGCAGCAGCAGGGGCAGCAGCAGCACCCAAGCCACCTTTACTGGCTGCTCTCAATAGCCCTCCGCCCCCCTCTTGGCCCGCAACGAGCTGTTGCTTCTGCCTCCCCTCGTGCTCCTCTCTCACTGCTCTTCCTGACTTCCCCTGCAGCATCCACCCCTGCTCCTGCTCCTCATCCCTTTCCCGTTTCACCACCCTCCGTTCCCTCCCTCCTTCCTCTCCCCTTCCCCTCAACGCCGCCCTCCTCCTGCCCCCGCCCTCTTCTCTGCTGCCCCCTGCCCTCCTGCCCCCGCTCCTCCTGCTTCACTCTCTTCCTTGCCTCCACAGCACCATAGTTTCCTCCTCTGACTCGCTGCTATCTCCACCCACCAGCAGTCTCCTTCTGCGTACCGCATGCCCTCTCAGTGTCTGCGCTGCCCCACCTGCACCACCTGCCCACCTGCACCTGCTGCACCCTCCCCTGCCCCCCGCTGCCGCTTCCTAGACTCACCACCTCTCATCCCCGCAATATCCTGCTGGCTCTTCACCCTTTGCCCGGTCCTTCCCGTTTCTCCCTCATCCTCCCTCTTTCGTCCAATCTTGACGTCTCTCCCCCCCTCCCTCCTCCCCGTCTCGTCCCTCTCCTCTGCCTCCTGCTTCCAGCCTCCTTGCCGAACCTGAAGCATGTGCGCCCCACCCCCATGCCGTCCCTGTGGCAGAGGTTCGGCAACAGGTCCGGGTAGCTCTGCGCTCCCAGTGGACAGGAACCGATCCAGAGCTTCAGCAAGCGCAGCCTTGGCGATTTTGGCTCGGTAAGCAGCCAGGGCTGCATCGTGGAGCCTGGCTCGGGCATAGGCTAGGAAGCTAAGTCCGCAGGCAGAGTGCCAGCTGTCAGAGCAACCTGCTGCTTTAATAGCCTCCTTAAAAAATCCTACTGATGCTTCCTCTCCTGCTGCTGCTGCTGCTACTACCGGGTCCATCTGTATAGCTGCAAGCTTGCCTGTGCTTCCCTCCGCATGCAATTCGGACTCTTCACCTGTTCCCTCTATAGCATGACCTGACATGCCCACTGGAAAAAGCTCCTTGCTGGTCATCGCAGCCATAGCTAGCTCTTCCTGCTTCTGCTGCATCTGAGCGCCAAGGCTTCCCTGCCTGCCATCGTCCTTATCCACTGCTGCTGGGGCTACCCCTGCTGCCACTCCTCCTCCGCCTGATTCCACCTTCAGCAGCTGCGGGGGCAAAACGAGGGGGAGGGCATTTGGCCCCACGGACGCAGACGGCAGCACCCAGAATGAGGCTTGCAGGTATGGAAACCCTAGCTCCACCGGCTTACGAACAGGGGAAGATGGCGAGCTTTGACTGTTACCACACGGGGAGCCAGAGCTTGTCTCCTCGTTCTCATAAGTCTCGGGTTTGGCGCCGCAAGAAACGGGGGAGTCTATGCCTCCAGATGCGGTGTCCCCAGGTAACACCTCCCCTGACTCGAGTGACATGCTGCGGGGAGACTGCAGGTGCTGCAGGCGATGCATGAGAGGGCTGCGAGGAAGTGACTTCTCTCTCCCCTGTGCCCCCTGGGCTCGCCCCCTAACATCTCCTGGAGCTCCCCCCTTGTCTAGAGCAGTAGCACCCAAGCTGCTACGTTTCTCTCGTAAAACCCTTGACCTTTCACCAGCACCAGCAGCACCAGCACCAGCACGTGCACCATCAGCACTAGCCCTCACACCGACCACTCCCTTGCCATCCACCCCACCAGCAGCAACCTCCCCTGACTCCCTGTCCCCATCGTCCATCATCTGTGCCTCAGTCTGTGCCTCAGTCTGTGCCTCAGTCTGTGCCTCAGTCTGTGCCTCAGTCTGTGCCTCAGTCTGTGCCTCAGTCTGTGCCTCAGTCTGTGCCTCAGTCTGTGCCTCGGCCAACACCTCTTGCTCTGGTCCTCTGCTTACTCCCTCCGTTTCTTCTTCTCCTGGCTTCTTCACTCCCCCCTCCTCCCGACCCTTACATTCAACTCCTGGGCTTCCTGCATCCGCACCCTCACACCCCTCAGCACCTCCCCTCAAGCCTGCAGATCCTTCCTCCTTTGCAGCAAGGCCACCGCCAGCCCTGGCAGCACTAGCAGCGCCATCAGCATCAGCAGTCACAGCAGCAGCGGCAGCAGCAGCAGCAGCACCACCACCGGCCGTGGGTCCCAACTCAACAGCACCCATCAAATTCGCTTCGGCAGGTACTGGCTCTCCTGGCTCTAGTGGCTCGGCTGGCTCTCCTTGCTCTCCTGCCTCCCCTGGTTCTCCCCCCTCTCCCAGCTCTGCTGGTACCAGCAAGGCGTGGCCAGCAAGAGACTTGTGAGTCGACTCAAACGGCTCAGAGATGGGCAGCAGCATGGTGAGCGCCGCTGCTCCTGCCATCTCTGGAGTGGCAACGCGCGAATCATCTGCGTCCGACAACCCCCTGCTCTCACCCCAGCCTTTGCCTTCTCCCCAGCCTCCAGGCCCCACCCACGCCCTGGACTCGTGTGGTAGTGACCCATACTGCCCCCCCTCTCCATGCCCCCCCCCTCCATGCTCCTCCTCTCCATGCTCCTCCTCTCCATGCCCCCCCCTCCATGCTCCTCCTCTCCATGCCCCCCCCCCATGCTCCTCCTCTCCATGCCCCCCCCTCCATGCTCCTCCTCTCCATGCTCCTCCTCTCCATCCTCCCTGTCTCCCCATTTCTTTGCCTCATTCCCATCGATTTCCATCTTGCACTCCATCCCACCATGCTCTCTTCCTCTCCCAGCACCTCCCCTTCCCCTTCCCGGCCAAACCCCACCCTCTGACACACACCCTCCCCCAGAGCCCCTGCACTATTCCCAAAACCCCCCTCCCCCCCACATCCCACAGGGATACATTCCCCCCCGCTCACCATGGGAGGGTTTTGTGCCAGTTGATGGCAAGGGTGGATAGAGTGGCCCCCTAAACCCTCATGGGAACTGGTACCCTTACCTTCCCCACACTGCCCCCCCACGCTGCTATAGCCCAGGCACAGCTCCCCACCTATACTACCATCTGTAGGCTGCTGGTCACTACCAGCAGCAGCAGGATTCCCACTAAGGGGGCTACAGCCTGCTCTGCACTAACGAGGCCTGAGGAGAGGAGCGTAATCACTTCCTTTTCAGTCACATCCTCCCCCTCCTCCGCCTTGGCACCAGCCCCTACGCCCCCCTCCACTGCCGAAACAGTACCCGAGGGAGCAGTGGCACCAGCACCTGAGAACTTGTCACCAGCCGCACCAAACGGCCAAGAGGCGTCAAGCCCAGTTGCGGGTGCAGAAACCGAGGCCATGGAGATCACATGAGAGGCAGTCGCATGGACATGGGCATTGAAGCCCAGAGTTCTGCGGCGGGAGTAGCGGCTGAAAGGCATTTCCACAAAGTCCTTCTCCTGCCCCGCATCTGCCAAACACCCTGAGAATGCCCCTGCTGCTGCTGCATCTCCCACCTGCATGGCTCTGCCAGGGGCAGCCGCAGCAGTGGCTAGAGCGCCAGGGGTAGACACTGCTGCTGCGGCCACTGCTGGCGCCACTGCTGCTGCAAAAGCCCTGGCAGCAAAACCCCTCCCTTCAAGCGCCCCTCCCCCAGGCACCTCTCCCACGGCATCTGTATCCTCCTCCGCCTCGGCCTCCTCTGTCCCTTGCAGCCCAACAGCTTGCGTTACCCCTGCGACCCCCACACGAAGCCCAGCCATCTCCAGCTTACCAGGTTCCGCCCCCATTTTGCCCTCCATGGTCGGTGCAGCCACTCCCTGAGGATCCGCTGACCCACCATTGGCAGCATCCCTGGTCATCCCCTCGACATAGACAGAGAAAGCATCCCCATTCCCCTCTGGCCTCCCTTGCGGCTGCTCTTTCTCCCCTGCCTCCCCCTCCTCTGCCTTTCCCTCTGCCCTCTCCTCCGCCTTCCCCTCTGTCTTCTCCTCCTCTCCCTCCCCTCCCATATCCGCTTCCTCTCCCACCGCCTCCCATGCTTCCGCCAAGAACAACAGCCCATGTCCTACCCCATGCTCCGCCTCACCCATCCCCTCTGCCTCTGCCTCTGCCCCCTCCATCCCCTCGCCATCCCTGCTCCCACCTCCCACCCTCCCCTCCATCCCTCCCACCCTCTCCCCCCTTCTCCCGCCTTCCTCCGCTTCCTCATCCTTGCACTCTCTCCGCCCCTCCCCCAGTTCCTCTGCCTCTCCCGCAGCCAAATGGGGTTCAAGTGGGCTCACACCTACCTTGGTTGAATCACTCCCAGGAGGTAGAACATCTGGTTCTGGTGTGGCCCTTAACGCAGCAGACTGCAAACCAGCCTGCACCAAAATCGCAAGCCCATCGCCCAAACCCCCATCGCCCACTCTCACCTCCCCTCCTGCACTCCCCACTAAAACCATCTCCCTACTGCCGCCTGCCTCGAGGTTGCCCTCCCAACCCAACTCAATCTCTATCCCCTTCCTTCTCTCCTTCTGCCCCAAAATCCGCCCTTGAGTCTCTCCTTCCGCCTTTACCCATTGCTCCAACCTGGGGTCCCAATCCTCCTCCTCCACCACCCCTTCCCGCCCCCCAGCAGCAGCAAACATCGGCCCTCGCAGTACAACCCCCTCCTCCTTTCCCTCCAAGCCCGGAACCACCAGAGGGTATCCGTCCCGCGCCATAGGAACCGGCGGGGCCACACCCAGCCCTAATCCTAACCCTAATCTCAGCCCTAGTGCGAACACAAACTCCGGATCCCCCAGCTGATGCAAGTAGGGGGTGAGCAGAGCGAGCCTGACTACAGGAAGCCAAAGATTATCCTCTTTCCGGCACACACTCGTGCCTTCCACCAGTAGCCCTGCGCTGACCATCCACTGCAGGCGGGTGAAAGACACCCCCCCCTGCTCCTTGCCCATGCCATCCCGGTAGTACCACGTCCCCTTGAGGAAATGCTGCCTTGGCAGGTGCCCGTCGGTGGTGAATATGCCCGGGAATAAGGATCTTAGTACAGGGCCTGCCTTGGCTGCATTGCGATTCCAAAACAGATTGGGCGGGACCTGCAACCACCGCTGCTGCTGCTGCTGCCGCTGCTTCTGTTGCTCCTCCTTTTTTCATCCTCCTCCGCCTCCTTCTCCTCCTTCTCCTCCTTCTCCTCCTTCTCCACCTCCTTCCCGTCCCCTGTTTCCTCCTCCTGTTCCTCCTGTTTCCGCTGCTGCAGCTGCTGCGGCACATGGGAAGGAGAGACAGCACACTCCAAACGTGCCTCCTTCTCCTCCTTTCCAGCTTCTGTACCCGCTATTAGCTGATCCCTGATCCCCGCCGCCATGACATCCCCGCTCCCAGGCACATCTCCTTCCTGCTGCTGATTTCCACCAGCCTCTGCGGTTCCCTCTGCCGGACCACTCACAGCATCATCAGCTACAGGCTCAGCAGATATAGCTTCAGCACATGCAGCCTTTGCAGCTACATCTTCAGCTGCTACAGCCTCAGCCGCTACAGCCTCAGCCGCTACAGCCTCAGCCGCTACAGCTTCAGGAAAGGCTATTTCCACACATGCTGCTGCCCCTGCAGCAGCAGCAGCAGCAACCTCAACTCCCTTTTCTTGCTGCAATGCAATCTGAGCCGAACGATCTTCACTGCTCTCTTTGGGGCGAGGCTCAACAGGAGCAGATATGTCAGCATCAGCCGGAGCATGCAGTGAATCCGCTGCTGGCAGCGCGGTAAGCGCAGCAGCTGTCAGTGCAACACCTGGAAGCGCAGCAGCTGTCAGCGCAACACCTGGAAGCGCAGCAGCTGTCAGCGCAACACCTGGAAGCGCAGCAGCTGTCAGCGCAACACCTGGAAGCGCAGCAGCTGTCAGCGCAACACCTGGAAGCGCAGCAGCTGTCAGTGCAACACCTGGAAGTGCAGCAGCTGTCAGCTGCCCTTCAACCGATCGACCAGAGGCCTGACGATCTACTGATCCCCCACCTGCCCATTTCCCCTCGCTCTCCTCTCTTGCTTGTATCTCCCCCACTCCCTCCTTCACTCCACCAGCGATCTCCTCCTCCCCTGGTCCTTCAACCCCCATTCCTTCCTCCCCTCTCTTCTTCTCTGCCCCGTCCTTCCCCTGCCCTTCCTCCTCCTTACGCGTGCCGTCCTCCTGTATCCCATCTCCACCAGCATCCCTCTCCTCGCCATGTTCCCCTACCCCAAGCACCGCCCCAGCATCCCTTTCAGCAAGCACCATTCCATCCTCCAGTCCCCCACGCACCTGCCTCTCCCCTTCGCCACCCTCCCTGCTCCTGACACCACTGGCTCTGGCAGGCTCTTTCCTAGACTCAGGTTCTCTCACCGCTTCACTATCAATCTCCATAGGATTCCGCGCCTCTATGTCAGGGCCACCAGCACCAAGCTCATACCCACCACCACCAAGCTCATGCCCACCACCACCAAGCTCATACCCACCAGCCGTCCTGTCAAGATGCGCTTTACTATCAACTCCACCAACCTGCATCTCAACCCGCGCCTCTCCCTGTCTTGACTCTGCTTGGGCCTCCTTGCCCCCTCTAGCATCTCCTACATTCTCCTCAACCATCCTCGAAGCAGCCTGGTCAGACCGGATGGACTCACCGTCACTACTCTCGCCCATACTCTCCTTCTCCTCTTCTCCACTCCCCTCAGCCAAGGGCGAAACGCTCAGGGCGAAAGGAACAAACCCCAGTGCCACAACAGAGCTGCCCCTTCTTCCCTCCCCACCCTGCCCCCCACCTTCCTCCAGGCACGTTCCTTCCTGTCCTGACCCCCTTTCGTATAACGAATCATCCTGTACAGTGTACATTTGCTTCTCCAACTGGGCCGTTAACAGGTTGAAAATGTGACCAAAGTCAACACCGCCTTTACCCACCCTTGCTCCGCCCTCCTCTTCCCGTTTGTGCACGCCATACGCCTCTCCATGCGCATCTCCTCCTCCCCCAATTCTTTCTGGTATGACGCCAGCAACAGCCCCTGTTTTGGCCCCCACTTCTGGCGCCTTTCCTTGTCCCAGTTCACCGCTCTCCACCGCACTAGCCCCAACAGCTGCAGCGACCATTCCCTGACCTCCCCTCTCTGCCTTCTCCTCAACGTTCTCACCCGCAGGAGCTAAATCCGGTACTGAACCTCCAACCAAAATGGAAGCTCCAGGCACGACCCTAGGTTCGAGCCTAACAAAACCTTCAGCCTCAGGTTCGGCATCAGGCTCGTTCTCAGGTCCGGTTTCAACCTCTCCTTCTCCCAGTATGGCCAAGCCAAACTGCTGCACTAGGAGCGCATTGCGCTGCACCAGTGCCGCTGCTGCAGCCACCAAATCACTCCCTGGTTCACTAGGCTCCCTACCCCCCTGCAGCGAAACGGAGGAGCCCAGTGCTTGCAGAGAGACGGACGAGCCTCGCCTAGTGGACGCCTGAGACAAAGGACTACAAGACGGGGACTTAAACCCTGAATCCATCGACGAAGCTGCTTTTACTGCCTTCAACCCTTCCTCTTCCTGCTGTTGCTGTTGCTGTTGCTGCTGCTGCTGCTGCTGCTGCTGCATCCCCTGCGTTCTTCCCTGCACTGCTCCAAACCCTATCCCTCCAATCAGTCCAGGCCCAGGCCCTTCCCTGCCAGCTGCTGCCACAGCCTCACTATAAGCCCAAGCTGGTACAGTCATAGTACTAAAGCTCTCGTTAGGATCACCCTGACTCGAATGAATTCTAGGATCACGGGCTTTCTCCCTCGGCCACTCACCCAAGCAAAGCCCCTGCAAACCCCTGTGTCCAAACCCTACCCCTAACCCTAACCCTAACCCTAACCCTAACCCTAACCCTACTGGAAGCTTCCTCGTACCATCTATTTGCTTACCAAGCGTCTGGCTATCAGAAAATCGGACCCAGTCGCATCCTTTGAGCCACGAGGCAGTCCACCTCTGTTCCTCCGCTGACCTATCAAGAGCTACAGCCCCCAAAGCATCAACGCCAGCACCAGCTTCAGCAGCCACCGTTGTAGCCGCAGCAGCCGTAGCAGCCGCAGCAGCAGCAAGCACAGGGCCAGCAACTCCAGCAGCAGCAGGAAAAGCAGCAGCAGCACCTAGAGACGAGTCCGGAGGAACATCCGCAAATCCTAGAGCAGCTGCTCGCTCCCCCCCTGCTGCTGCTGCTGCTGCTGGCAGACCTGCTGCTGTGTCAGCCGTACCAATAGCACCTGCCCTCTCCTTCTCCATCTCACATCTGTTGCTTAACCCACTCCCTGTAGCAGCTACATCCCTCAGTGATGCTCTAGCAGAACCATCTGCAGCAGGAGTCACATCAGCAGCAGCATCGCCTGTAGTGACACCAACAGCAGCAGCAGCAGCAGCAGCAGCAGCAGCAGCAGCAGCAGTGCCAGCAGCAGCATCAATCTTACCAGTTGCTTCAGCAGCAGCAGGAGTCTGGTCATCTACACCTGCCCTGTTAGCATCTCCCCCTACAGCCACTGCAGCTGCAGCGGCCCCTTCCAATGCCCATAGTTCTGCCTTATTGCCTGCTGCTGCTGCTGCTGCTGCGGGACTGGGAAGCTCGCCATACGCTTGAGTGGAAATACCAGCAATCGCAAGTGGGGCGCCTGAAGAAAACCAAACAAGGGTAAAGGAGAAAGTGGGTTATAATAATAATAATAATAATAACAATCAAAAAAGGGAGACAGTATGCTCCTACAGCTGGACCAGGAAGGCCGCCAAGCCATTGAAGGAATGAAAGAGGCGACTTTTGAGTCGACTCAAAAGTCACCTTGGAATGAAAGAGGCAATCAAAGAATAGAACTCGCTCCATTCGCGCCCGAAGGGCGGGTGAGTGAGTCGCCTACCGGTCTCAGGCAGAATCCCCAGCTCCTTCTCCAGCTGCTCCTCAACCCGAGTCGCTGCTGCACTCAGCAACTCTGCAGAGCGGATCGGGGAGAGAGAAAAGGCAAGGACATGCCATTAGCCCTCGAGTCGATTCGACTCAAAACCAGCTCCTTCTCCAGCTGCTCCTCAACCCGAGTCGCTGCTGCACTCAGCAACTCTGCAGAGCGGAGAGAAAAAGCAAGGACGTGCAGTTAGCCTAATACCGAAGGACTCAACACTGGCAAACACCAAAGGAAGCTTATAAGGACGGAATGGCCGTCCGAAGCAGCATGCACGAAGAGAGGGCATGCTGCTTTCGAAAAACAGCAAGACACTGGAAAAGGAAACCCGAGAGTGAATGCACTTGGCTCATGCCCACCAAAGATGGCGTCCTTCTCCTTCCCGACCGCCAGCACAACGCCCTGCATCAACTTTCGCGCCAGCCAGCTCAAAAGCCACAAAAAGAAAGAAAGAAAGAAAGAAATCCCCAGCAGAATGAATGCAAGAGGCTTACCGAAGATGACGTCCTTCTCCTTCCCAGTCACCAGCACCACGCCCCGCATCAACCACTCCACCCTCTCATCCACACTCTGCCCTCCCCCGCCTGCCACCTCAGCAGTCGTTGCCTCGGCCGTCGTTGCCTCAGCCGAGGCCACCTCATCGCCTGCCACTTCAGCATCTGCCACCACAGCAACTGTCACCCCAGCGCCTGCCACCTCAGCAGCACCATTAGCAGCAGTGGTGGCACCCTTAGCAGCGGCAGCAACAGCAGCAGCATCTGGGCCCTCAACACCACGCTTCTGGTCCTCCCTACATTCCTTCTTGCCTCCACTTGCAGCTTCAGCAGCAGTAGCAGTTTCAGTCGCAGTAGCAATGGCGGCAGTCGTGGCAGCCGTAGTGGCAGCAGTAGCAGCCCCGCAAACCCGAGGCTGCTCCTCCTCCACCCCTGCACCTATCACCTCCGGTTGGGCAGCTTGCCCCCGACAATCATCTCCAATCAGAGCTCTACACGTGTCACCCTGTGCCCTTCTCTCCTTCACCCCTGTTATGCCCTCCTCTGCTTGTGCCACAATGCCCGTTGCAGCCTGCTCACTCTCCACTTGGTCCCCCTCACTCCGCTGGCCCCCCTGGCCCCCCTGGCCCCCCTGGCCCCCACCCATGCTCCCCTCTCCCCGTTCTCTTCCAGCAATAGGCCCTCCTTCATCCTCTTCCGCTCGAGCAGCGATACTCTTCCGCCCTTCTTTAGCAGCAGCAGGCTCGCCCAGATCTCTACCAGCGCCATCACCCTCTCTCCCTCCTCCAGCCACATTACCCTCTCCCTGTTCTCCACCAGAAATACCCTCTCCCCCGTCTGTAATGGCATTACCCTCCCCCTGCTCTCTACCAGCAGCAGGGTCGCCCTGCTCCCTGCCAGCATTGGGAGGCCACCACGGCCCATCCGTCCCGCCCACTTCTCCAAACCCTCCGAACGGCCGGGAGAACGAAGGCCAGAACTGCGACGGAGCCCCAACCTCAAGCGAAGGCTCGGCGGCATCAGGCTCGGGAGGCCCGCCATCAGGTTTGGAAACTGAGGCCGCGGGAACGGTGGCAAGCTCAAAGGCACTGCCAGGTTCGCAAACTGTGGCAGCTGGCATGGCAGGGGGTTCTGTAGCAGGCAGGGGAGCAGGCTCGGCAGCAGGCTCGGGAACAGGCTCGGAAGCAGGCTTGGAAGCACCGCTAGCCGAGTCAAGCCTGAGAGACGGCTGAGCTGAACCATCAACTGGTGATCTTACAGGTAGCTTTGATGCCTCTGCTGTCACTGGCTCACTAGCAACCTTCTCTCTACAGACATCCTCACTAGCAACCTTCTCCCTAACAACCTCTCCTCTAGCTGTTGCACTGTCAGCCTTGGGGCCTTTCTTCCTAGGAGAATCGCCTCTGAGCTCGCTGGGGGCAACCAGTGACTCAGAAGCCGAGATCCCCTTCTGCGTCCGCTCGTTTAGCTTACTAGCCCCCGCGTGTCTCTCACGACTCTGCAACCTAGCTTCGGGGTCAGGGCCAGGTTTAGAGCTAGAGCTGCCTACACCAGAGGAACCTGCCTTAACCGCCTTCACACTGCCTGCCTCCCGCTCACCCACGTTCTGCTTCAACAACGCTCCATGCTCAAGTGTGTCAGCAGAAGCTGTTACTGCAGGTTCCGTCACTGCCCCATCCGCCCTCGCTGGTCCTTCTGCCCCTTCCTTCGGTCCCTTCGATTTCACTTGCACGGGTCTTTCGGCATCTGCCTTGCTGCTTGTCTCTGCCCGCCCCCTCTTCTCTCCATCCGATCCGGCTCTCGCTTTACTAGATTCTCTCACACTGCCTTCTCTCGCTTTGCCTTTTCCGCCCTCCTTCTCACGCTCTTTCGCCTTCTCACGCTCCTTGGCTCTCTCTTTCTCCTTCACCCTCTCTCTCTCCTTCTCCTTCTCCCTCTCCCTCTCCTTCTCTTTGTCCTTCTCTTTAGTCCTCCTCTCACTCTCCCTCGCCTTTCCTCTACTCTTTTCTCTCTCCCTCTTCACCTCGCTACCACGCTCACTCAAACCAAGTGCACCACCTATGGGACTTTTCGAATCCCGTTTCCTAGGCGACACAGACATAGGTCTCTCCCGTTCCTCTATGCATCCCTCCTCCACATCCTCCCCCTCCTCCCTCTCATCCGCTCTCACTTCCCCTTCATCCATCCCTTCGCTACTGTCACGCACCTCACCCTTCTCCCCCTCCTCTCTCTCCCCCTCCACCCCCCTCCTCCGCCATACCCTGCTTCGTTCTCCCTCTACACCCTCCCTCTCTTCATACCCGTTATAATCTCGTCCTTCCCGCATCTCTCTCCCTTCCAGCTCCATCTCGCCCCTCCTGAGCCGCGACCAGCCCTCACCAGACCCCTCCGCAGCCAAATAACCCTCCCGCCCTCCCCGCCAAGCACTCTGATCCGGACCTGACTCGAGCGTGCGCCTACCAGAAAACTCCCCACGCATATCCCCGCGCCCTTCCACACGTCCTTCCCCGCGCCCTCCCGCATCCAGGGCTCCATCCCACGCGCCAGAGCCTTCCCCGCACCACCCGTCCCCCCACCCGGGCGGCACGAAATCCTCCGCCCATGCGCCCTGCGCCAGCCCCCCAGGGTGCAGAAACCCTCCCCCGCGCCCATGCTCCAGCCTCAGATCGTACAAGCCTGGGAATTCCGCCATGCCTCCGCCATCCCCGTCCCCGCGCCCTCTGCTGCGCGGCTGCCTGAATCCGCCGCTGCCCCCATCCGCCCCAGGCAAGGGCCCTGGCGGAATCCCCGCAAGCCTACCCCCGCGGGGCGGAAACTGCCCGCCATTGCACCGCTCGTCGCCCCCTCTCCCTGCTCGCTCCCCCACCTCTTCCTCGCGAATCTCCCCCGCCTCCATTCTTGACCTAGGAAACCCCCTCTCCGCCTCATCCAACCAGCCTGGCCCCCGCCTGTCATCCCTCTCCCCCGCATCTCCACCATAGTCTCCCCTCCCGGGTATATCCCGTCGCGCGGGTCGCCACGTGTCATCCCTAGGCGGAGGCCCGCGCCAACCAGCAGGGCCCCTAGGGTACAGCCTACGTGGATCCTCGTCAATTCCCGGGATTCGCGGCCAACGTGGCATGGCTCCGCCAGGGAATCGCCCCAGCGGCGGCTGCGGGTCGAAGGGGCGGTGGAGGTCGGGGTGGGGGAAGTGGGGGCCCATGGCGTGGGGCGGGGGAGGACCCATGGGGAGGTCGCGTCCGCACTTGGCCTCCGTGTGCCCGAAGTGACCGCACGCGGCGCAGAGGGCGCGCGCGTTGCGGTCGCCCGCCGCGGCGGCATGAGCGGACGGGGGGAGACTGCGGGGTATGCCGCCGCCAGGACCCCCCCTGCCGCCAAATCCGGGCCAAACGCAGTTTCGGGAGAAGTGACCTAAGCCACCGCAACGAAAACACTGGACCCGCGACGAATCTGCCATTTCTCCGCGATTTTAGTTAAGGAACTTGTGAGTTTAAGGTGTAGAAGACACTGTAGAATGCTCTCATATTAGAAGTATAGACGAACGAAGGCGAACCCTCCTCCCGAGGTCATGACGTTTCGACGCGTCGCCTGCACAATAAGAAGATTCGAGGAAATAAACCGCACGCGTGACCTCGAGTTAGAACGGTACGATACCCTAATCAGGTAATACGAGAAGTCGAGTAAGGCGTGACGAAAACAACACATGAAACCCTTGAAACGTTGACGCGAGACGCAAACAACATCCAGAGCTTGCTAGTAAGAAAGTCGCACTTGGGGGGCTAGGAAAAGGACAGGAACGCGAAGCGCGGCTTTATTTCTACAAATTCTGTCTTAGTTCCGTATCAGGCGCCGGAGAAACGGCTCGACGGAATCACGACTTCTCAACACGACGAAGGCGATCTACGATAAAACAATAATACTGACGTTAATAGCAAAGTTTGGCGTGAAATCGTATTTCTAGCGCTGCGTACCTCCTCTCGTTGCAAGTCCAGTACGGGCAAACGAAAAACAATTTCTGGAGAAAAAAGAAAAGAATGGGTCCTGCTTCACACACGGCGTCCAGAGAATCTTCACGACGTTAGGGTTAGTCGAAAAACCTTCAAAGGATCAAACAGAACCATATAATTCCTGCCAGGCTGCACACTAAAAGTCGACCTCCGACATCACTGGCGGATCACGAATTCTTGTCCTGCGGTGAAACACAACAAAAAGCGATACGCAGACGGCCTCGCGGAATGTATTAATCCACCGCAAGGCTCCGAGATACTTCCTTGAATTGTTCCGATTCCGAACGAGCAGCTGCTATCAGCTCTACCGCCTGTGCAGAGGAGAGAACGTGAAGCAAAAGCGAAACAGGAAGTTCAAGCCAAGGGTCGATCGAAAATATCTAAGGGGAGTGGAGGAAAAAGTAGAGCGGACGGAGCAGCCCAACCAAAGTCTTCGAGGAAGCAGGAGCTGTGAGAGGGGAGAGAGAAACCTTGGAGTTGGGTTGGATGGAGGGTTAGCGCGGGAAAAAACTCTCAAGGCTCCAGCCAGTCGTCGCAGATCCGACGTTTCCGCAGAGGAAAAGATGGGGAAAATCGGACGGTCGTTATCCACAGAAGCTGTCTGACGAACCAATCGGGTGAGGTCAAATTCCAGGGAGGTTTTGCTGCAATTTTTTTTTCCCGAACAAATTCAAGGCCAAATCTGAGGCCGTAGGCAGATAAGCCGCCAAGCTCCTTATGAAATTCTTCACCATAAAAGAGTACAGAAAAAGGGAATCCTCTATATTAAGAGCACCCGTGATCGCAAGAATATACTTACCGTATTAGCCCAATCAATATTGGTCTAATCTCACCGTTCCCTCTTACAGGATCGTTGAAAAAAAAAAAGAGAACTCCCTCCATCAGCTCCCGTTATTATCTCGCAAACCTACTGCGTTGGAAATGTGACAAGTGCGAGAGGCCGTGTGGGATGAGGTTGGAGACTACTGGGTGGGTTTCTGGGTGTTACAGAGTGGTGGGTGGCGGTACGAACTAATGCTCATTGCGTGCTCCGCGCGTTTTTTTGTCTAGTCTTGTGCACTGAAATGTGCTAGTGATATTTTCCTAGGACTTCATTTTACTACTGCCATTTCCCTCCCTGGTTCTTTGCTCTGAGTAAAGAGTCGACCTCTTCTGCGCCCCGCTTCGCCTCGTGCGTTCTGATCGCCGCGGACTTGTCACGCGAAATAACATTTCTCAAGTGTCACACAAATAGCATTTCCCAGGATACTGTGCCGGGCCTTTCGGACGCGCGTCGAAGCTTGCCTTTGCGAGCCTGCCGTGAGCTTTAGAGCTGCATCTCCGTTACAGGCTGCTTCAATATCGTAATTGGATAGATAAATTCAATATTCGCGGTCGCGTGCGATGAGCGGCGATGTCAGCAGCGGTATTCCCTGGGACGGCGTTCTCGCGTGCGCCAGCGGCCTCGCCTTCCATTGGCTGAGCTCGCGAAGCGGAAAGTGAGCCGAGTGATACCAAGCATCACGCAAGCGACATATTCTGATGCGTCTTAGAGAGTTTCTAGGACATGCAGTATGCACTGTCTAGGGGAGCACCATCTAGAGTATCACAGTCTAGGGTAGCAAATTCTAGGGTATCCGCCATAATTACCCTTGTCGTTAATTCCATGGCTGCCTGCATGGTCCTCTTTGATGCTACTTATGCATCCCCGTGTCATGTGTCTGCGCGCGCCTGGCCCATATTGTCTTTACCAAGGCACCTTGTAACATGTACGCATGTTTGTCCCCGTTATACGCATTTCCCTGTGAATGGTTGCAGAGAAGCCACGTCACTTAAGGCAGTCCCAAGGGTGCCCAGGCTGAGAGAGCTAGGTGAGCAAACCGTTTAGTTTGCCTATATCAGTGAGCAAACACTTCAGTACACCGATATATTAGTGAGCAAACAGGTTCTTTTGGCGCGACTGTTGAGTCGACTCAAGAGCCACCTCTCAGTTCCAAGGGTGCCACCCACTGCCCAGGCTGAGAGAGCCCGGTGAGAAAACTCATCCTAGGCGTTCGTAGGCTCATTCGTTCTTCCCAGGCGTTCTTTCCAATATTTCTCCCATTTGATTTCACGCTGGCGTAACAGGGTCTGGCTTTGGCATGGTGTAATGCGCTCTTTCACCTCTGCCTTGTCTGTGCGTTTGCCCTGGCTGTACGTGCACAGGAGGAATGCTGCAGGGATGACTTTTAGTCCACTCAACTCAATCGCCATCTCCTTCACCTCTGCCTTGTCGTTGCGTTTGCCCTGGCTGTACGCTACGCGCCCAGGAAGAATGCTGCAGGGCACTAAGGGATACGCCCCTCTGGTCGTTGCAGTGACGGGCAAAGTGGGCAGCGACCAGCCAATCACCTGCGAGAACAGCAGCCTACGTGGCGTGATAGTGGAGCAGACAGTAAGCATGACTTGCCCCGTTTCAACGTTCAAGCGAAGCGAGCGCCCATTTCCCACAGTATCACAGTATCTCAGTATCACAGTATCATCAACTCGCAGCACTAGATATGAGGCATCTGGTTTACTAGGTTTGCGCACCTTCTGCTTCTGGTTTGGTGCGAGTCGTGTGAAAATCAGCAAGGGACGTGGCGTGGCGTGGCGTGATTCTGATAGTGCTGCACACTGTAAGCCTGCCTTGCGTTGCCTTGCGTTACCTTGCAAGGCTTGCACACTGTATCAACTCTCTCATCAGGAGGAGTTGGCGAGCCAATCGGCTGCGAGAGCAGCAGCCTTCGTGGCGTGATAGGTGGAGCAGGCTGTAAGCCACCGTGCCTTGTCGGGGTTGTCGGGGTTTCAAGCGAGTTCTTTCAGAGATAGACATGAGAGAGACACCCATTTTTCAATAGAACATACAACATCCCCACCCCTCCCCCCCCCCAACCCACCCCCCCACACCCCCCTACACCCCCCCACACCCCCCCCCCCCCGCCTTCCTCGCCTCTCTTCCCTTCCCCGGTGTGCAGGCAGAGCAGTTTTTTCGACAGTACGTGCACCCCCTTTCAACATACCCCTCCCCCCCCCTCCCGTCTTTCCCCCCTTCTCCCCCCTGCCTCTCTTCCCTTGCGTGCGGGCGGAGCAGTTCTTTCAACAGTACATTCACCCCCTTTCAACAGTACATTCACCCCCTTTCAACAGTACATTCACCCCCTTTCAACATATACCCACCCACCCCCCACTCCCCATCCCCACCCCCAACCCCCCCTGCCTCTCTTCCCTTCCCTTTGTGCACAGGCGGAGCAGTTCGTCCTGAAGCACAACGATGCGGGGGCGTGGGTGCAGGACTCTGTCCTTCGAAACAGCACATACACCCCCTTCGTTCTCCGAACTCTCTTCCCCCCCACCCCCACCCCCAACCCCCCCTGCCTCTCTTACCATCCCCTTGTGCCCAGGCGGAGCAGTTTTTCCTGAAGCACAACGATGCGGGGGCGTGGGTGCAGGACTCTGCGTTTCTCATCCGCAACATGAAGTCGGTGCCCTGGTACATTGTGAGTCAAACCGAGTCAATAGGAGTCAAAACGAGTCAACGCTCTCATCCGCAACATGAAGTCGGTGCCCTGGTACATCATAGTCGAACCGAGTCAATAGGAGTCAATAGGAATCGGTGCCCTGGTACATTCTGAGTCGGACCGAGTCAACGCGACTCAGCTCTCTCATTTGAAACAGTAAGTTTGTGCCCTGGTAGTAAGTCGGGCACAAGTGGGGCACAGGTCGGGCACAAGTGGGTCCAAGTGGGGCACGAGTTGAGCACCCTAGTCACCTGGTGGTCGACTCTTGACTCTCGAGCACGTCCTTCAAGGTGGTTGATGACTGGCCATCAGGGTCGAACTTGTTGATGACTGGCCATCAGGGTCGAACTTGTTGATGACGCTACTCCCAACCGCTTGCAGGTGACTTTTGAGTCGACTCAAAAGTCACTTGTTGATGCTACTCCTCCCAACCGCTTGCAGGGGCGTGGACTGAGGTGACTGTTGGGACGGCTTCTGGGCCTTGTGAAAATTAACAACAAGGCTCACTCACTGTGTGATGGCCCGAATTGCAGGAGGATGGTACGGGCCGAGCCAACGTGGTGGGAGCACGTTCGGCAGCAGGTCTGGAGCTGACGGTTGGCACGGAGGTGTTTGATGACTCTGGGAAATCTGTTGTGCGCAGCACCGTGGACTACCTGCAGGTGTGACAATAAACCTAGGCTAGGGTGAGGGTGTAGGGATATGTTGCACCTTATGCGTTTAATGTCTACCTAGCCTAGGGTGGGTGTAGGGCAGGCTCCAAGTTTTAGGGTAGGGTCCTGGCTGTAGTGTCAAGACACCCATTAGGGATGACGCTAGCAGCAGTGAGTGAGGTGTTTGATGACAGCGGCAAGTTGGTTGTGCGCAGCACCGTGGATTACCTGCAGGTGGGCGAGAGTCTAAGGCTTGGGTTGAGACGAGCAGGGACTTCCCTAGCAGGTGGGCGGGAGTGTAGTGAATGCAGTGTGTACAAGGGCAGCTGTCAGCTATGTGCAGGTACGCTGTAGGGGGCCATGCTGGCCAGTTTTGAGGCGCGTCAAGAGGGGGCCTGTGCCGGCCTGGAGCTGACATTTGGTTGGCATGGAGGTGTTTGGCGTCAGATTTTCCCGTGTACCCCATTCCCTCGTTTTGCACCGCACCACGCTGCTCTGCACCGCACCGCAGACCACCCACCCCATGAGGGAATGAAGGTGTTGCGGGTGAAGCGAGTCGAGAAGACCCTGTGTGTTGCCCCTGCACCCTATGCACCCTCCATTCGTACACGTTGCAGCATACCCGACATGTCGCACCACATACCATCACCCTGACACCCGCGCCATCAGGGCGTCAAGGTGCTGCTGGGAGTGAAGCGGGTGGAGAAGCTGATTGTTGCGGCCCCTTCTCTCTATTCACTTGCCATTCCCAAACGTTACCTCACCCCACCACACACCACATCACACCACACCACACCACACCACACCACACCACACCACTCCACTCCACTCCACTCCACTCCACTCCAAACTACACTCACACATCATCAGGGCATCAAGGTGCTGGGAGTGAAGCGGGTGGAGAAAGTGCTTCCGGTGGGCACCAGCCTCACTGTCGTGGGAGAGGTGAGAAGCGTGCGGTAAGCAGAGGTGAGATGCGGTGAGCATGCTCAGGTGAGGTGAAGGACAAGGACTCACCCCTGAGTGTCTCTTTTTTGTTCCAGAACTCTCTGTGTATATGCTTGATAAATCTTGTTTCTGAGGGTTCTGAAAGACAGAATCTGCAGGGTGTTTTCAAGAAATTTAAAAGGCACCCTTTCTGAGGAAGGAATCTTGTCACATTCTCTCCTCTTTTCCCCTATTCCTTCCATCCATCTCTTGACCACCAGGCAGTGAGGGACGACAGGGGCAGCATCACCCTGCAGAGGCCGCACCAGGGCGGCCCCTTCTTTGTCTCGCCTCGCTCCCTGGATGCCCTCATTGCCTCCCTGGGCACCTTCAGCCAGTGGTGCCGGTGGCTCTACCTGGGCTGCACGGCTGTGGGCGCGGTGCTGATTGTGGGGCGGGTTGTTGGGGGTGTGATGGAGAGGCGGAGAAGGGCGGCCATCAGGCGAAGGTGAGGGGGGGCCTTGGATTGACTTATGTTGACTTGGGTTGACTTTGTATGACTCTGATTCAACCACTTTCTTGCTTCTTTTCAGTCGACTCAAAGGCCAATAAACAAAAGCGCTTATTGCTGCTGCTAGTGCAGGGGCTAGAGCACCTTCTGCTTGTGTCTGCTGGCAACGGATTGTGTCGATTTGCATGCGTCTCTGTATGGTTGGATGCACGCATGAACGTATGGGTGTGTGCTTGGATGCACGCATGAACGTATGGGTGTGTGCATGGCGACATGGCTGCTTCACAGAGTGCTAGAGGCTGAAGCAGCAGCGTCAGCACGAGACCGAAGCGGCTCATCGGCCCGACAAGGGCAGGAAAGCGATGACACTGCCACGTCAGACGCCGCCAAGTCAGCAACTGATGACGACGTGCCAGCTCAGCTGCCTGACACGTGTGTGATTTGCTTGGAGCAAAAATACAACTCTGTCTTCGTCCCGTAAGTCCCCGGGCTTGTCTTGGAACCCTCTCCCCTCCCCCTCCCCCCGAACCCCCCGCTTTCCTCCTCTCCCCTTCCACTCCCATGTCTGTCTCCTACAATCTGTTGTGACCACATTTGCTGCATTCCACTCCCACGCCTCTCAGAGACACTGTGCCTCTCAGATCTGCCTTTGAGTCGACTCAAAAGCAGACTACCACATCGGCACTGTGCCGCTCAGAACACCCTACCCAGTGCCCCATTGTTCTGCCATGCCCCATTGTTCTGCCATGCCCTGTACTCGTTCCTCTCAACTACACCATCTTCACTCTCCTCTCCACTACACCATCTTCACTCTCCTCTCAACCACACCATCTTCACTCTCCTCTCCTTCTCTTTCCCCCCCACCAGCTGTGGCCACATGTGCTGCTGCGTGCACTGTGCCGCTCAGCTCACTCAGTGCCCCCTCTGCCGGCGCCGCATCGACCAGCTAGTTCGAACCTACCGCCACTGATCTTCCTGGTCCGTACCTAAGCAAATGAGTCGATTCAAAAGTACTTGGCCCGGTGGTCTCTACCCTGTAGGCTACTGCTGCTGCTGCTGAGCCCATGTCTGTAAGGCGGCGGTACGAGCACACTGCCACTGACGAAGCTTGTGCAGGTTGCTGCTGTGTAACCTACACACACGCTACTCCAATACACGCGTCCCCAGCTCACTTACCCAGCAGCGCCCCCTCGGTTGGTGGCGCTGCTTCAGCCAACGCTGGTCCGACCTGAACCCTAAAAATAAAATTAGCATGCTGTGGTGTGCTGTACAGTAGATCCCTTGGATGCTGGCTGGCTGCTAATGCCCTAGCTGTTCTACGTGTACATAATGTTCGTACTTGTGAGACCAGAAAACATGGTACCTGCCTAAACATGAGTGATAGTTCGAATTGGCCATAATGCAGTATCATCTGTCAAGAGACATGCTGGGGTTGCCCTTGAGAGATCCTCAAGGAAGGGTCACAGGTGCAGAGCCTGGGGGGTTATGGGTGCACTTACCCGCTACTCAGTGGTTAGTGACGGAGTTCTGACTGTTAGCGTATTGAAGTGAACTAGACAAGGGCATACAAGGGTTCTTATGCTTTGGTGTTGTACTCTCTAAGAGCATGCACCTATCTAGCCTATAACAACATATAAATATGAGTTGACACACCCCCTAGGCTAGACAAAGGGGCACTGCCTAGCAAGAGACACACAGCTCAGGGTGGCACTACTAGTCCAACCTCTAAGACAAGGTTTAAAGACCAGTCAGATGAGTACAAACTAGACAAGAGCAACCCAGGGCGGCACTACTATTCCTGCCACCGGAACAAGAGCCACAAGGCCAGTCGACATAATATAAAGAGTAGTACACAATCATGGTCCTAGCAGGTGAGGGGCTACTGGAACTAGACCAAGCTGTACATAGTACCGCTGATGATCTTAAGGCGCAAGCGCCTTAGTAAAGATATCAGATGTGTTGGCAACCTGAGGCCAAGTGTACTCACGGGCCAGGCGACGCTGCTGTAGCTCGCGCATGAGGAAGTACCGCAGCAAGATGTGCTTCGCTCTGCCCTCCAGTCAAGGCTTGTGTCACAAAGGATCATGGCCCTGTTGTCAGCGTACAGGACCGGGGCAGAGCTAAGCCACTCACCTAAGTCAGTGAGCAAGAACGTCAGCCAGCGGAGCTCCTCTGCCGCCATGGCACCAGCGCAGATCTCAACCTCACAGCTAGAGAGTGCAACAGACGACAAACGGTGGACCTCCACGAGTTGGCACTTGCACCAAGGCTAAAGCAATAGCCCTGGGAGGACCTGAGCGTCTCAGCGTCGTCCGCCCACGAAGCGTTTGTATGCCCTGTAAGGACCACTGGCTAGCGTCCTCCTAGCACTAGCCCCATGCCCGATTTACTTGCTAGATAACGCAAAATCCTCTTAGCGGCCGACCAATGCTGGGTCGGTGTCTGCCTGTGGCCACAAAGCGAGCCAAGATGCTGAGAGGGTATGCGAGATCTGGACGAGGGCAAGTCATCAGGTACATGAGGCAATCCACCAGCTCTGCGTACGGACCACTAGGCTATACCAACTCCGCAGGGACTGGAGCCGAGAGCCTGTGATCTACTGGAAGAGGTGTGGACTGTGCAGAGGAGAACTGAAAACCGAACCGCTGAAGGACCTGGCGCACCAAGTATGACTGTGTGAGAGTGATGGTTCGTGGTGCTGTGACCCTGGAGATCTGCAGGCCAGGCTAGCGGCGCAACTCTCCTAGGTCAGTGCAGGGGTGTCTCCTCAGCAGTTTAGCCTTCATGGAGGCAAGCCCGTCTCTATCTGCAGTAGCGAAGACCAGGTCATCTACGTTGACTAGGATATAGAACGGAGTCTGGCCTGAGCGAACGAAGAGCGAAGGGTCTGCAGAGGACGGGAAGAACTGCATGTCAACTAGCGTAACACGCAACATGTCGTGCCACTCACGACGCGCCTGCCGCAGGCCGTACACAGGACGCCAAAAGAGCCACTCGGTCCTAGGGGCGAAGGTGCCGGTGAAGCCTGGCAAACGGCGCAGGTAGACCTGCTCATGTAGACTGCCCTGGAGAAACTCCGTGGAGAAGTCGAGGGAGTGCAACTCGTAGTCGCGATGTGCTGCTACGTGAAGCAGTGCCCGAAGAGTGGTTATTTTCGAAGCCGGGGCGAAAGTCTAAAATATGTCAACACCCTCACGCCGACTAAAACCTCTAGCAACGTAGCGCGCCTTGAAAACCGGCAGCTCTCCAGGAGAGCGCTTCACATTGAAGAGCCACCGGCCATCGACTACGTTCACCCTAGGTGGGGAAAGTGCGTCGACGTAGGTGCCGGTGGATCTCCAAGATTCCATCTCTGCGTCCATGACAGCTATCCACTGAGAGGCCCAGGGTCCTAAGGTCGCCTCAGCGTAGTTGCGAGGGGTCGGGCTATCAAGAGAGGCTGGGCCACCCTCAGGAACTAGAACCATGGAGCAGAGATGAGGAACGGCCTCGGATAGGAAAGGTAGCTCATACTGCCTGTCCTCTAGGACGTCATTGCCAAGGGCAGGTGCACCCCCAACAGACAGAGGACAGGCCGGGTTATAGACCAGAGTGGTGGCATAATCAAGACGGCGGGTAGAGGCAAAGTCAGCGACAAGAGCCGAGAGAGGTGAGAACCTGAAGAACAAGAGGACTAGCAGCACAGAGAATGTCAGAGAAAGGAGGCGGAGAGGCAACAAGCGATGACTTAGGAGGTGACTAGAGAAGAGGAGCACGAGATGCGTGAGAACGAAGCAACATAGGGTGAGAACGCTGAACAAGAGAGACAGGGCGAGCACGGGAGGGACGGCGAGACCAGAAGTGGGACGGTGGCGTTGGGTCAGGAGATGCTGGAGGAGACAGAGGAGGAGACATAGGAGGAGAACGAGGGGGGAAACGTGTCGGGAATGAGTATGGCGGAGGAAACACAGGGGTGTAGACAGGTGGAGGAGGCGACGCGGGGGGAGGCACGAGCGGGAGGTCAGGTGAAGGACGGACATCGGCGGCGACTGCTGTTGAGACGGCGGGTGGTAAAAGTGCCAGTCTGAAGCATCGAGGGGGAAGCCAAGGATGACACAAGGGACGGTGCAAGCAATGAGCTTGTTCGTGCCAGAGGCACGGATGTGAGCAAGGCAGCCCCAGACGTGGAACGCAAACGTGTCACCAGGGGACCCGGTCCAGAGGAGGGTCGGCGAAACCTGCGGCCACAAGGAGTGTGGCCACGGGTTCAGCAGGTGAGCGGCGTAGCGAACAGCGAATGGCCACAGAAAATGGGGTGCTCCGGCATGGATCATGGAGGTACGAACCACCTCCATTACCAAACCGATGCGTCGCTCAGCGACCCCATTCTGCTGCGGGGAGTCTGGCAAGGTGTACGACTTGGTGATGCCCTTCGCACGATAGAACTGACCAAGCCGACCGGAGGCGAACTCGCAGCCACGGTCAGAGTGGAGATGCAGCACGGGCAGGCTGCGGTGCACTCGCGCAGCTACGACCCACGGGATAAGAATGTCAGGTCCGTTGGCCTTCCGCTCCAGGGGAAACACCGTGGTGTAGCACGTGTAGTCGTCGACGAGCACCAAAAGGTAGCGCTCACGGCGTGGCCAAGGGACGGGTCTGGGCCCTAGACGTTTGGCTGCATGGTTTGTAGTGGCACAGAGGTAAGGAGGAGCAAGGAGGAGTGAGGAGCACGGCGCAGCCGGCCCTCGACATAGGGCGTGCACGACGGCGTAGGAGAGGGTGGGAGGGCAGGGAGCAACGTAGGGAGACCTAAGACAAGACCGTGATGGGATATGTGACGCAGACGCGGGAGTGCTGGGTGACCTAGGCAGTGGTGCCACAGAAGAGACGGGTGAGTGAGCGACCGACACGAGCAAGCCGTAGCGACCTGGGAGGGCGCGACCACCTGGCGGGACGCTCCCACCTGGGGGGACGCGGTGTCAAGCGTAAAAAGACCAGACACTGGGTCCCGGGGGAACGTGGTGAGAGGGACACCAGTGGCAGCCTCGGTAAAGACTGCGTACCGCTCGTGTCCAGGAAACATGGTGGTGATGCTGAGGTCCTGAAGACGGCCGACACTCACTAGGTTCCTGGAGAACGAGGGAAGGTGCACAACTGTAAGCGAACCTGAGGGAGCCGCCAGTTAGGGAAGGGTGGTGAGCTACGTGCAACTACTGAACCGAGAGGGGTCAGCAAGAGTGACAGCTGTAGGTGGGGCAAGCGGTGTGAGCGCAGCGTGGTCACGAAAGAAGAAGTGGGACGCGACAGTGTCAAGCGTGAAGGAGAGCACGGCAGTAGCGTCTGCCGGCGGAGCGACTAGGGTGGAGCCTAGGCTAAACAAAGCAGGAGGTCCTACACCTGACGCAGTAGGGGAGCCTAGATGGCATACAGTGGACACATCTACACTAGGCAACACAGGGTAATAAGGTCCAGTCACACTAGAGTCATCAGCATATATGGGAATTATAGCAGAGCGAAGCAAGATCCATATCCATCTAGAAGGCCGGCACACGGTGACGTACCAGGCTGTGCCAGTTGTAGGGGTCCGGTGCAGGGCCGAAGTGGAAACGGAAGAGGTCGTCGAGGCGGCGGTAGCAGCGAGCGGCGGTGTGACCAGGTCGGTCGCACACGGTGCCGCAACGGGGGCCGGTCAGAAGCTGGTACTGGCAGGTCACCGCACTGGAGCCGCCACCCGACACCCAGCTGCACGGCCCGCCACCGCGAGCGCCACCACCAAAACTGCCAGGCCACCACGGCAGCGGGGGTCTCCACGGCTGCTGCTGCCGCTGCTGGGGCTGCTGCCGCTGCTGGGGCTGCTGCTACTACGCCGGGGCATCAGCCCCGGTGCGCTTGTCTGCACCACCGACCCCTCCACCACCTGCGCCTCCTCCACCACTCCCGCCACCCCCGCCACCCCTCCCGCCACCACGCCCCCCCCGGGCCCGGCGACCCTTACCCTGATGAGCCGGCGCTGAGGCCGCCGTGGCGGTCTCAGCAGCACGAGCCGTCTCAGCGACAGCAGCAAAGACGTCAAAGTAAGTGCACTGGAAGAGAGCACAACCCTGGAAGATAGGGACCGCCGCAGTACTGCTAGACTGAGCGATAGTGCGCTGGCGGGTCTCTATCGCGGTCAGGGTGGTGACAAAGTCAGTGAGGGTGAGGTCATCAGGGTGGAGGCCAAGGAAGTGGTCGCGGGCAGTAGCAAGGCGGTCAGGAAGGCACGTGGCAAGAAAGTAGAGGGTAGCACCAAGGAGGGAAGGCAAGACAATGAGCTAAGCCTCAGTGCTAGCAGTGGGGTAGCTAGTCTTGAGTGCGCGCAGGTAAGTAGTAAGGTCAGCAACAGTGGGGAAGGACGCGGGATTAGGGAAGAGCAGGGGCAGG